TCTTTACTTGATACAGCAATCGTGCTGTGACGGTTCCACCTGAAGACGGAAGCTTGTGTTGCCTCCGAAACGTCGTGATTTTTATTAATTTTAATTTTTTACCTACGTGACTTTACCGAAAAAAAACCTAAGAATATAAATCCTTGCAGTCACGAAAGCTTCAAATCCAGAATGTTACACCTCCTCCGCCCAGGCATGCGAGGAGGTTGTGGGTTCAATCCCAGAACCTGACGACGTCGATGCATTGCTGTCTGTAGATTTGGAGTTTGCGTGTTCTGCGCGAGTGAGTCTGTGTCTCTGTCTGGGTCTCTCTGTATTAGGCAAGGCTGCGTTGGCTGGGTCATGTAGCCCGCATGCCCAGCCACCGCATGCCTAAACAGCTTTTGTTCGGCCGGATCGAGGCGGCTAAACGGGCGCGGCACGGGCTAGAGAAGAGATGGAGTGATGTGGTACAGGAGGACGTGGAGCTGAGTGGACTTGCCGATGACTGGTACCAGCGGTGTCAAGATCGGCCTCTGTGGCGGAGGCTCGTGAAGGACGCTACTGGGCAGTTGGAGGCAGTCGCCCTCCAGCAACAACGGAGGGCGGAGGAGAGACGCTCACAACAACGAGCGGAGCGCCGGGTGGCTAAAGCACAGCAAGTTGGCACAGTAGGGGGCACAGGTGGTGCATCAACCAGTCATCTCGGTCATCTCAGTCAGTCGACCCGTGGCACCTGGGTCTGCCCCGTGACCTCCTGCCAGCGTCCGTTCGACACTTCACGTGGCCTCAAGGTGCACATGGCCTGGCACAAGCGTCGTGGTGACGTCAGCGCCACTTAGTGGCGAATGGCGGTTGTTGTTGTTGTGTGTGTCACTGTGTGGGTCTCTCTGTATTATCTCAACTGGTCGTGGGCCTCCCCCAGGTCGACTCGGCCTCAAATGTGGAGCTGGTACGGTGTGTAAACATCGCCACTAGTGAGACAAAGATGGCCGGGCGTGGTGCTGGCCACCCACCCCCTCGTGTGCCGTGCCGGCCTTCATAGGTGCAGCTACTCGCTAACAGCACTTGCCCCAACAGTCTGTTAAGGCTACACGGGGGATCTTTGTCTCTCTAAGTGTCTCTGTGTGGTACACAGGAGGTTGGGGGGACTGTGTGTTTGACTGTCTCTAGAGCGGTGACGCTGCCTACCCAAGGCTATCCAAGTAACATCACAACATATGGCTCCGTTCACACGCACAGCTCACACGCACAGCTCACACAAAGATCCCCCGTGTAGCCTCTACAGACTGTAGGGGCAAGTGCTGTTAGCGCGCAGCACGGCACAAGGCCGACCTCGCCTCCCCAGTGGCGACGCTGACTACACACAGCGTCAGGTACTCATTTGAGGCTGAGGCGACCTCGGGGAGGCCCACGACTGGTTCAGGATGATCGTCCCTGGTGTTGGCCGTGAGTGGGAATGGAACTTGGGTCTCCGGATTCATAGCGGAGCGCGCTAACCGCTACACATGCAGCTCAACAACAACAACAACCGCCATTCGCCACTAAGTGGCGGTGACGTCACGACGACGCTTGTGCCAGGCCAGGTGCACTCTGAGACCACGTGAAGTGTCGAAGGCTTGCTGACAGGTCACAAGGCAGACCCTGCAGGTGCCATGCATTGACTGACCGAGATGACTGGCTGATGCACCACCTGTGCCCCCTACTGTGCCAACTTGCTGTGCTGTAGCCACCCGGCGCTCCGCTCGTTCTTGTGAGCGTCACTCCTCCGCCCTCCGTTGTTGTTGGAGGACGCTTGTGCCAGGCCAGGCACATGCAGCTCACTCACTCACACACCAACAACAGCTGTTTGCCATCTCTGCTGTAGCAGACGGATGGAGCATGAAGTTGTGGTTATTGCAAACATGATGCCTTGTATAAAGGTGTCAGTTTTGTACCAGTTTAAAGGGTAAAAACCTACTACTATAGTTGTGATGATGTCACATAGCGCAACCCGCACACAAAGGCCACCCTACCTCAGCAGCTCACTCGGGAGATCATCTGCGTGGCGCTTTTCCTGGTTTCAGACTCTGAATCGCCTTCCGTACTTCCTCAACAAATGGCACCTCAGCCAGCCACTCACAGGAGGCGACTGCTACTTCCAACATTTGAGGCACCGCAACCTTAGCAGGGTCATCCTCACTTTGCCCTCCCCCCAAGACCACACAGAAATGCTCAGCACATCTGCAAACCATCTTCTTGGTTCTTTCGGTAAAGTGACGTAGAAGGGAAATAATAAAAATAAAACATAATAAAATAATTCTCACGTTTCGGCCACAACGCAAGCAGCCATCCTCAGGTGAAGAACAGGTCTGTCTTCTCGACAGACCTGTTCTTCGAAAGAACCAAGAAGATGAATCCCTGCAGTTACGAAAGCTTTAAATCGAAATCTGCAAACCAGTTCATTGAGATTGGATAACGGAACACCATTCTTTCCCCCAAGTTACTTTTTTGATGGGATTCGAGAGATTTCTGATCGCATGCTACCGAGAAAGACTATCTTCTCAGCAACCCGCGGCCACCACTCATCATCATTGCTGCACCGCATGGTTCTCCGAACCTCTCAGCGAAAGCTGCGGCAAGCCTCTTCATCATTCACCGACATGGGATGTTGTAAATCGTGGGAGTGGCAGCGATTACAGCTGCATGAACCACAATCCTGAACCTCAGCCATGAAATTCTCGCTTGCAACTTTCTTCAGCTAGCTGAGACCAAGCATCTTACCGATGACAAGCCGATGGTCAGTGGACAGATAATCTCAATGAGTAGGTCCTTAGTGTCAAGGTCATGGGCCCGCATCCGCTGTTCCATCACTATATAGTGTTGTTGTTGGTGGTGTTGATGGTGTTGGTGGTGGTGTTGGTGGTGTTGGTGGTGATGTTGGTGTTGATGATGATGGTGTTGGTGGTGGTGGTGTTGGTGGTGGTGTTGGTGGTGGTGGTGTTGGTGGTGATGTTGGTGTTGATGATGATGGTGTTGGTGGTGGTGTTGGTGGTGGTGTTGGTGGTGGTGTTGGTGGTGGTGTTGGTGGTGGTGTTGGTGGTGTTGGTGGTGGTGGTGGTGTTGGTGGTGATGTTGGTGTTGATGATGATGGTGTTGGTGGTGGTGTTGGTGGTGGTGTTGGTGGCGGTGTTGGTGGTGGTGTTGGTGGTGATGTTGGTGTTGGTGGTGGTGTTGGTGGTGGTGTTGGTGGTGGTGTTGGTGGTGGTGTTGGTGGTGGTGTTGGTGGTGATGTTGGTGTTGGTGGTGGTGTTGGTGGTGGTGTTGGTGGTGGTGTTGGTGGTGGTGTTGGTGGTGGTGTTGGTGGTGTTGGTGGTGGTGGTGGTGTTGGTGGTGATGTTGGTGTTGATGATGATGGTGTTGGTGGTGGTGTTGGTGGTGGTGTTGGTGGTGGTGATGATGATGCTGATGGTGGTGTTGGTGGTGTTGATGGTGTTGGTGGTGGTGATGATGATGCTGATGGTGGTGGTGTTGTTGTTGTTGTGGTGGTGGTGTTGATGGTGATGGTGTTGGTGGTGGTGTTGGTGGTGGTGGTGTTGGTGGTGTGGTGGTGTTGGTGGTGATGTTGGTGTTGATGATGATGGTGTTGGTGGTGGTGTTGGTGGTGGTGTTGGTGGTGGTGTTGGTGTGGTTGGTGGTGTTGGTGGTGTGTTGGTGTGTGTGTGGTGGTGGTGTGGTGGTGGTGTTGGTGGTGGTGTTGGTGGTGGTGTGGTGGTGGTGGTGGTGTTGGTGGTGGTGGTGGTGGTGTGGTGGTGTGGTGGTGGCGGTGTTGGTGTTGGTGGTGGTGTTGGTGGTGGTGGTGGTGTTGGTGGTGGTGTTGGTGGTGATGTTGGTGTTGGTGGTGGTGTTGGTGGTGGTGATGATGATGCTGATGTTGGTGTTGATGATGATGGTGTTGGTGGTGGTGTTGGTGGCGGTGTTGGTGTTGGTGGTGGTGTTGGTGGTGGTGGTGGTGTTGGTGGTGGTGTTGGTGGTGATGTTGGTGTTGGTGGTGGTGTTGGTGTTGGTGGTGGTGTTGGTGGCGGTGTTGGTGGTGGTGATGATGATGCTGATGTTGGTGTTGATGATGATGGTGTTGGTGGTGGTGTTGGTGGTGGTGTTGGTGGTGTTGGTGGTGGTGGTGGTGTTGGTGGTGATGTTGGTGTTGATGATGATGGTGTTGGTGGTGGTGTTGTGGTGGTGGTGTTGGTGGTGATGTTGGTGTTGATGATGATGGTGTTGGTGGTGGTGTTGGTGGTGGTGTTGGTGGTGGTGGTGTTGGTGGTGTTGGTGGTGGTGATGATGATGCTGATGGTGGTGTTGGTGGTGTTGATGGTGTTGGTGGTGGTGATGATGATGCTGATGGTGGTGGTGTTGTTGTTGTTGGTGGTGGTGGTGTTGATGGTGTTGGTGGTGGTGATGATGATGCTGATGGTGGTGGTGTTGTTGTTGTTGGTGGTGGTGGTGTTGATGGTGATGGTGTTGGTGGTGTTGGTGGTACTCACACGAGAACGGACGTGATGGCGATGCCGAGCGGCTGGGGCAGCGGCTGCTGCTGGCGGTAGGCGGTGCTGGCGAAGCAGAGCAGCGTCACGCTCGCCATGACGGTGAGCGTGAACGCAAAGAGCGCGTTCAGGCGGGACAACAGGGTGTTCATCCTGACACACACAGAGACACAGAGAGACACACACACACAGAGTGAGACACACACACACAGAGTGAGACACACACAGCGTCACGCTCGCCATGACGGTGAGCGTGAACGCAAAGAGCGCGTTCAGCCGTGATAGCAGCGTGTTCATCCTGACTGACACACAGAGACACACACAGAAACACACACACACACAGAAACACACACACACACACAGAGAGACACACACACAGAGAGACACACACACACACAGACACACACAGAGAGACACACACACACACAGACACACACACAGAGACACACAGACACACACACACACAGAGACACGCACACAGAGACACACACACACAGAGACACAGAGACACACACACACAGAGACACAGAGACACACACAGAGACACACGCACAGAGACAAAGCTCCCCCGTATAGCCTTAACAGACTGTAGGGGCAAGTGCTGTTAGCGAGCACCTATGAAGACCGGCACGGTACACAAGGGGGTGGGTGGCTAGCACCACGCCCGGCCGCCTTTGTCTCCCCAGTGGCGATGTTTACATACCACACCAGGTACTCATTTCAGGCTAAGTCGACCTAGGGGAAGCCCAGGACCGGTTCAGATCATCACCACTGGTGTTGGCCGTGAGCGGGAATCGAACCCGGGTCGCCAGGTTTATAGCGCAGTGCGCTAACCGCTGCACCACCGCTCCCCACACACACACTCAGTGACACACACAGACACACTCAGTGACACACACACACACACAGACACACAAAGATACACACACAGAGAGACACACACACACAGAGACACACACACACACAAAGATACACACACAGAAACACACACACACACACAGACACACAAAGATACACACACAGAGAGACACACACACACAGAGACACACACACACACACACAAAGATACACACACAGAGAGAGACACACACACACAGACACACAAAGATACACACACAGAGAGACACACACACACAGAGACACACACACACACACAAAGATACACACACAGAGAGAGACACACACACACACACAAAGATACACACACAGAGAGAGACACACACACACACACAGACACACAAAGATACACACACAGAGAGACACACACACACAGAGACACACACACACACACAAAGATACACACACAGAGAGAGACACACACACACACACAGACACACAAAGATACACACACAGAGAGAGACACGGTGAGCGTGAACACAGCGTTCAGTCGGGACAGCAGCAGTGTTCATCCTGATAGAGACAATGGTGGTGGTGGTGATGGTGGTGGTGATGGTGGTGGTGATGATGGTGGTGGTGGTGGTGATGGTGGTGGTGATGGTGGTGGTGATGGTGGTGGTGGTGGTGATGGTGGTGGTGGTGATGGTGGTGGTGGTGATGGTGGTGGTGATGATGATGGTGGTGGTGGTGGTGATGGTGGTGGTGATGGTGGTGGTGATGGTGGTGGTGATGATGGTGGTGGTGGTGATGGTGGTGGTGATGATGGTGGTGGTGATGGTGGTGGTGATGATGATGGTGGTGGTGGTGATGGTGGTGGTGATGGGTGGTGGTGATGGTGGTGGTGATGGTGGTGGTGATGATGATGGTGGTGGTGGTGGTGATGGTGGTGGTGATGGTGGTGGTGATGATGATGGTGGTGGTGGTGGTGATGGTGGTGGTGATGGTGGCGATAGTGGTGGTGATGGTGGTGGTGATGGTGGTGGTGGTAGGGTGATGGTGGTGATGGTGATAATGGTGGTGCTGGTGATGGTGGTGGTGCTGGTGATGGTGGTGGTGATGATGATGATGATGGTGGTGATGATGGTGGTGATGATGGTGGTGATGATGATGGTGATGGTGGTGATGATGGTGATGATGATGATGGTGGTGATGATGATGGTGATGATGATGGTGGTGGTGATGGTGGTGATGGTGGTGATGATGGTGGTGGTGATGGTGGTGATGGTGGTGATGGTGGTGATGATGGTGATGATGGTGATGATGATGATGGTGGTGATGATGATGGTGATGATGATGGTGGTGATGGTGGTGATGATGGTGATGATGATGATGGTGGTGGTGGTGATGGTGATGATGATGGTGGTGATGATGATGGTGGTGGTGATGGTGGTGGTGATGGTGGTGGTGATGGTGTGATGATGATGGTGGTGATGGTGGTGATGGTGATGATGGTGAAGATGATGATGGTGGTGAAGATGATGATGGTGGTGATGATGGTGGTGGTGATGATGGTGGTGGTGATGATGGTGGCGATAGTGATGGTGGTGATGATGGTTGATGCTGAATGGTCTTTTGCGAGTCTCACTCACCCTGCGGTGCTCTGTCTGTCTGTGTGTGTCTCTGTGTGTCTCTGCCTGTCTGTCTGCCTGTCTCTCTGCCTGTGTCTGTCTGTGTCTCTCGGCCCGTGCAGTTGAGTGGAGGACAGACCCCGATGTCAGAGCAGAGAGGAATCCCTGCAGATTCCACGCGCCTGTGGATCGAATCGTCGCGAGTGGGAAAATCGCATTTCGAATCGACTCGCGATTCCACAGCTATGGAGATTTTAACGGAATCGGTGAGTCGCGATTCTCTGCGTCGCGATTCTCTGAGTTTACGGTGGCGATTCCATTGACTTCCTCTGCCCCCCCCACCACCCCCCCCAGTAACTTCCGGCCCCTCCCTCCTCTCCTCCCCAGCAACTTCCGGCCCCTCCCTCCTCTCCCCCCCCAGTAACTTCCGGCCCCCTCCCTCCTCTCCTCCCCTGTAACTTCCGGCCCCTCCCTCCTCTCCTCCCCCCCAGTAACTTCCGGCCCCTCCCTCCTCTCCCCCCCAGTAACTTCCGGCCCCCTCTCTCCTCTCCCCCCCAGTAACTTCCGGCCCCCTCCCTCCTCTCTTCCCCAGTAACTTCCGGCCCCTCCCTCCTCCCCCCCCCCCCAGTAACTTCCGGCCCCTCCCTCCTCTCCCCCCCCAGTAACTTCCGGCCCCCTCCCTCCTCTCCTCCCCTGTAACTTCCGGCCCCTCCCTCCTCTCCCCCCCCCAGTAACTTCCGGCCCCTCCCTCCTCTCCCCCCCAGTAACTTCCGGCCCCCTCTCTCCTCTCCCCCCAGTAACTTCCGGCCCCCTCCCTCCTCTCTTCCACAGTAACTTCCGGCCCCTCCCTCCTCTCCCCCCCCCCAGTAACTTCCGGCCCCTCCCTCCTCTCCCCCCCCAGTAACTTCCGGCCCCCTCCCTCCTCTCCTCCCCTGTAACTTCCGGCCCCTCCCTCCTCTCCCCCCCCAGTAACTTCCGGCCCCTCCCTCCTCTCCCCCCCAGTAACTTCCGGCCCCCTCCCTCCTCTCTTCCCCAGTAACTTCCGGCCCCTCCCTCCTCTCCCCCCCCCAGTAACTTCCGGCCCCTCCCTCCTCTCCCCCCCCAGTAACTTCCGGCCCCCTCTCTCCCCCCCCCAGTAACTTCCGGCCCCTCCCTCCTCCCCTCACCGGAAGTCGAGTTGAACTCGGGCGATACCAACTGCGCAGGAGGGTTGACACTCACTCGGCTTAAAAAACCCACACTCAGTCGTAATAGAACCACGCAAAACACCATCAAACATTCCGTATTGTTTTATTAGGTCGTTTGACGGTTTAACACCCAAAAAAAACTGGACGAAAATTCTTATTAAAGTAAAAAAAAATTAACACGGAAAGTTCAAAGTTGGTATCGCCCGGTGACGTTTTCGCGCCGATTCACTCCGCCGTGCGCGGTGAGTCTTGTGTCCCTCCGCGCCTGTGTCCCTCCGCGCCGCCGCTACCGCCGCTGCTGCTGTAGTCCCCGCCTCGCCCGCCTCGTCTCGCCGCCTCTCCCGCTTGGGAGCTCTTTCCCCTCGTGTCGAGGTGACGCTACGACATTGCTTGCTCTGCCGATGACTTCTGACGACTTGTGAGGGACTCGTCGTTGGCTCGTGACGGACTTTGTTTTGCGTTGGGGGCAGGAGAGGCCCCAACCGTCGCCGTTTGAATTTAAGGAGCCAATCAGCGCGCGGGGAGGGGGGGGGGCTTCGCCATGGAGACGGCGCGAGGCCGAGAGAGGGGGGGGGCGTCAGTGTCTCCATAGAGACGGCGGGGTGGGGGTGTGGGGGCGTTGCCATGGAGACGGCGGGGTGGGGGAATGGGTGCATCGCCATGGAGACGGTGGGGTTCAGGGGAGTGGGTGCGTCGCCTTGGTGACGGCGGGGGTGGGGGTATGGATGCGTTACCATGGAGATGTCGGGGGAGTGGGTGCGTCGCCATGGAGACGGCGGGGTAGGGGTGTGGGTGCGTCGCCATGGAGACGGCGGGGTGGGGGTGTGGGTGCGTCGCCATGGAGACGGCGGGGTGGGGGTGTTCCCGCGATGGTTGCCGCGCTGTGGCCGAGCGAGTGGAGAACTTGAACTCGTGTCGCCTGCCACAGGCACATCGCCCGAAACGTCGCTTCAGTCGTACACAGGCGCACGCACAACCACCACCAGAGTTGTTGACGGAGGTGTTTGTTGTTGTAGAAATCGGTAGGTTGTGTTCGTGTGTGAGTGTCTCAAGGTCGGCTCAGCCATAAATGAGTAGCTGGCGTGGAGTGTCTGTGTGGATGTGTTCGTGTGTGTCACTGTGGGGGGTGAGTGAGTTAGGGGAGCGGTGGTGCAGTGGTTAGCACGATATCTGCGTGTCTATCTCTCTGTGTGTGTGCATCTCTGTGTGTCTATCTCTCTGTGTGTGTGTGTGTATCTCTGTGTGTGTATCTCTCTGTGTGTATCTCTCTCTGTGTGTCGCAGTATCTCTGTGTGTGCATCATCTCTGTGTGTGTGTCGCAGTATCTGTGTGTGTGTATCTCTGTGTGTCTCATCTCCGTGTCTATCTCTCTGTGTGTATCTCTGTGTGTGTGTATCTCTGTGTGTGCATCATCTCTGTGTGTCGCAGTATCTCTGTGTGTGTATCTCTGTGTGTGTGTATCTCTGTGTGTGTGTATCTCTGTGTGTGTGTATATCTCTGTGTGTATCTCTGTGTGTGTGTATCTCTGTGTGTGCATCATCTCTGTGTGTGTCGCAGTATCTCTGAGGATGGAGACGCCGCGTGGTGTGCGAGGCTCCTCGCGGGAACTCGAGTCCCAGGCGGAGCTGCGAGAGCGACTCTACTCGGCATTCAAGAGCCGAGGCCTCCTCACTGCACTAAAGGTGACACACACAGACACACACAGACACACACACAGACACACACACAGACACACACAGACACACACACACAGACACACACACAGACACACACACAGACACACACACACAGACACACACAGACACACAGACACACACACAGACACACACACAGACACACACACAGACACACACAGACACACACACACAGACACACACAGACACACACACAGACACACACACAGACACACACACAGACACACACACACAGACACACACACACAGACACACAGACACACACACACAGACACACACACACAGACACACACAGACACACACAGACACACACACAAACACACACAGCCTTCAAGAGCCGAGGCCTCCTCACTACGCTAAAGGTGACTCACACAGACACACACAGACACACACAGACACACAGAGACACACACAGACTCACACAGACACACATAAACACACAAACACACTGACACGCACAGACACGCACGGACACACATAGACACACTGATGCACACACGCACAGACACACATAGATACACAGACACACGAGACGCACTGATACACGCACAGACACACACAGACACACTGATACACGTGTAGAGGTGATACGCGCTGGGATTAAGGATCGTATGCACAGTGCGTGATGATTGGCTGTGTAGGTGGTGACGCGCGCTGACGGTGGAGGATCAGGGGTCAGCGCGGGGTCGTGGGTTACGGGGTACCGATTGGCTGTGGGCGGTGACGCGCTGAGAGAGAGTGCGTCGTGATTGGGTCATTAAGGAACGACGCTCACGTCGACGCCGCATCAGCTCCGTCCCTCGTGAGCAGGGGCTATAAAAGGGGATGCACACAGGCGTAAGGGGGGGTGTAACCAGCGAAGAAGGAAGACGGGGATGAAGACCTAGAGCCCTGCGGTACCTAGCCCCGCTGTCCTAAGGGGACCGGGACTCTGTGTAACCCAGAGGCGAGTGTAGTGGGTGTAGCCATAGGTCTACACGAGCCGAATGTACTATGTGTAGCCAGGGCATAGGGCTTACACGAGTCGAGTGTATTGTGTAGCCAGAGGCATAGGGCTTACACGAGTCGAGTGTATTGTGTAGCCAGAGGCATAGGGCTTACACGAGTCGAGTATATTGTGGGTAGCCAGAGGCATAGGGTCTACACGAGTCAAGTGTATCGGGTGTAGCCAGAGGCCTAGAGCTTACACGAGATTAGTGGAGTGTGTCGGAGGAAGAAGAGAGACCACACGTTGTATTGTGATACCTAAAGGATTTAATAAAAGTGTGTTACCCGTCAAGAAGTTCCTGCCGTCAATTCCCATACTTCAACTGGCGTCAGAAGTGAAACGGTCCTCCAAGCATGGATACAAGGAGGAACCGTCGGACCCACGGGATTGACCACGAGGACAACCTCGACGACGCGGGCCAGCGGGCATCAGGGGGTGAGGAAGAGGAGCTGCCCACGGGGCAGGATCCACCGACGGCGCCGGTCGAGCGACGGGGGACTGACACCGTGCTTCGCGAGGCACACTCCCGTCTGGCGGAGCTGCTGCTCACCGCCGCGTCCATCTTGGCGGAGATCAGCTCGTCGGGAGGAGCGGGGACGGCGGCCGACGTGCTACAGGGTCGCCCTGCAGATTCCCGCCAAAACGATTTGGCGATTCCCGCCATTTCATCCGCTCCAACTTTTGGCGGGAACGGCCATCACCACGTGGCAGCGGTTCTCCATGCGCGGCCGCTGACGTCACCAACGCGCGCGGCGGACCGCCATCACACACCCGCCACTGGGGCCGCCATCTTACACACCGACGGGGGGGCAGAGAGGAAGCACGAGGAGGAGGACGACTTTATCTTTCAGCAGCGCCTTCCCACGATGTCAGCATTCAAGGCGGAAGGCGGGGATTGGAGCCAATTTCAGCGCAGATTTTTGGCGCATCAAGAGATGTCCGCCTGGTCCGACGCTACGGCACTGCGGGCACTGCCTGCCATGCTGGACGACAACGCGCTCGCGGCCTTCACGTCCGCACGCAGGTCGGACCGCTCCACGCTCAAGGATGCGCTGGCTCTCATGGCCAAAGTCTACGGTCCTCCCTCGGCGTGCCGCCATCATTTCTACGCAAGACGGAAGGCGGACACGGAGACCGTGCTCGCCTACCGCACGGCGTTGCTCGCTCTCGCTGACGCCGCGTTCCCTCGTATGGACGAGGAGGGCCAAGATGCGATGGTTTTGGAGCAGCTGCTCAAGTTGGCGCAGGACCTGGGGGTCCCCATCAACACGGCCGACGACACCGATATTTCTTCATTACGGGTCGCCACGAGCATGCAAGCGCACGAGGTCCTTCAACGAAAGCAGGGGGTCGTCTGCAACGCTGCCGTGGCCTCAACTCCGGGTCCGGTTGACACCGTGCCCCAAGTCGTCAGCCCACGAGAGGACGCGTTCATCGCGGGACGAGCGGGGGACTGGAGGTCGGGGGGTCGTTCGCCTCTGCGAGCGGCCCGCAAGCTGGAGCAACCGAGATCTCCGACTACTGTCATCACCTGCTATAACTGCGGCCTTCGTGGCCACGTGGCCTCCGGTTGCCGCGCCCCACGTCAGCGCGCCATGGGACCTCGGCTGGACGACGACCAAGGCCCCAAGTCATCACTGCAAACCCCGGTGTCTCGGAACTGACTGCTGCCGACCACCGGCGGCCGGATCTTCACGGCGGGGCCGGTCCTTCCAGGCCCGACCCGTGCCGTCTAGAGCTGCCGGAGACACCGGACGGTCGCCAACGTCCCGTTCCATACGACGGACCGGCCAGACGGACTCGCGCTAGGTCGCGCTACTTTGTGTAACCTACCACGTGCGGAGTCGAGGCAGCCGGAGCGCCTCGGCACTGCGTGGGTCACGGTGACACTTGGCGCGTTCGTTTTACGGTGTTCGCTTTTATTGTGTTGTTCGTCGGGCTGTATATTGCTTCATATTTAAGGTTGTGTTATGTTGTTGTTGTTGTGTTACGGGGCACACTGGGATGTGGAGTTCTTTATTACTGCGTTGCGTTATGTTGTGTTGTAGGTTAACAGCCGGGCCGGCTGCAAGCTATGTGGGAGGGGGTGATGTAGAGGTGATACGCGCTGGGATTAAGGATCGTATGCACAGTGCGTGATGATTGGCTGTGTAGGTGGTGACGCGCGCTGACGGTGGAGGATCAGGGGTCAGCGCGGGGTCGTGGGTTACGGGGTACCGATTGGCTGTGGGCGGTGACGCGCTGAGAGAGAGTGCGTCGTGATTGGGTCATTAAGGAACGACGCTCACGTCGACGCCGCATCAGCTCCGTCCCTCGTGAGCAGGGGCTATAAAAGGGGATGCACACAGGCGTAAGGGGGGGTGTAACCAGCGAAGAAGGAAGACGGGGATGAAGACCTAGAGCCCTGCGGTACCTAGCCCCGCTGTCCTAAGGGGACCGGGACTCTGTGTAACCCAGAGGCGAGTGTAGTGGGTGTAGCCATAGGTCTACACGAGCCGAATGTACTATGTGTAGCCAGGGCATAGGGCTTACACGAGTCGAGTGTATTGTGTAGCCAGAGGCATAGGGCTTACACGAGTCGAGTGTATTGTGTAGCCAGAGGCATAGGGCTTACACGAGTCGAGTATATTGTGGGTAGCCAGAGGCATAGGGTCTACACGAGTCAAGTGTATCGGGTGTAGCCAGAGGCCTAGAGCTTACACGAGATTAGTGGAGTGTGTCGGAGGAAGAAGAGAGACCACACGTTGTATTGTGATACCTAAAGGATTTAATAAAAGTGTGTTACCCGTCAAGAAGTTCCTGCCGTCAATTCCCATACTTCACACGCACAGACATACACAGACACACTGATACACACATGCACAGACACACTGATGCACACACACAGACAAACATAGACACACATAGACACACTGATACGCACACGCACAGACACACATAGATACACAGACACACGAGACACACTGATACACGCACAGACACACACAGACACACACGTAGATACACACTCACACAGACAGATGCACATGTAGATATACACACAGACACATATATACAGAGTGACAGACACAAAGACTTACACACACAGACTCACACACACATAGATACACATAGACACAGACTCAATGTAACTCCGCACACTCACAGAGACAAAGGCTCCCGGGTAGCCTTGACAGGCTGTAGGGGCAAGTGCTATGTGTGTTTGTGTCTTTACGCGATCAATGTATATTTTGCACGTGGTTTCAACAGACGTCTCACTCTGAATCAGTTGGTATCTTTCTATCGGCTATGTAATGCTGTGTGGAAGCTACCTGGTCTGTCGCTCCACACAAAGCTCCTGGTCTTCTTGGCCACATTCATGCCCTCCCTTTGCTGTGCTTGTGAAACGTGGACCCCTCTAATGGAACATCTGCGTGGGTTAGAAGCATTCAAGCTGGCCCTGCCTACGATCCATCCTGGGTTTAACCAAGAGGCTGGATTGTGTGAGGAGCTCACAAATCGTTGAAAGATCTGGACACAGTCCCATCGGTGAACTCCTCCGGCAGACAATGCTGCCTTGGCTGGGTCACGTAGCCCGCATGCCCAGCTACCGCATGCCTTAACAGCTTTTTATTCGGCCGGATCGAGGGGGTGAAATGGGCGTGCCACAGGCTTGAGAAGAGATGGAGTTGATGAGGTATGGGAGGCTTTGGAGCGGAGTGGACTTGCTGATGACTGGTACCAGCGGTGTCAAGATCGGCCTCTATGGAGGAAGCTCGTGAAGGACGCTACTGGGCAGTTGGAGGCAGTCGCCCTCCAGCAACAATGGAGGGCGGAGGAGCGACGCTCACAACAACGAGCGGAGCGCCGGGTGGCTAAAGCACAGCAAGTTGGCACAGTAGGGGGCACAGGTGGTGCATCAGCCAGTCATCTCAGTCAGTCGACCCGTGGCACCTGCTGGGTCTGTCCCGTGATCTCTTGCCAGTGAGTGTTCGACACTTCACGTGGCCTCAAGGTGCACATGGCCTGGCACAAGCGTCGTGGTGACATCACCGTCACTGAGTGGCGAATGGCGGTTGTTGGTATTGGTGTGTGATGTGAGACAGATCCATGTGCGGGCCGCATCGTGTCTACTTGTCTACGTGTCTGTGTGTGTACGTGTCTGTGTGTCTACGTGTCTGTGTGTCTATGTGTCTGTGTGTGTACGTGTCTGTGTGTCTATGTGTCTGTGTGTCTGTGCGTCTGTGCGTCTACATGTCTGTGTGTCTACGTGTCTGTGTGTCTGTGTGTCTACGTGTCTGTGTGTCTACGTGTCTGTGTGTGTACGTGTCTGTGTGTCTACGTGTCTGTGTGTCTATGTGTCTGTGTGTCTACGTGTCTGTGTGTCTGTGTGTCTACGTGTCTGTGTGTCTACGTGTCTGTGTGTGTACGTGTCTGTGTGTCTACGTGTCTGTGTGTCTACGTGTCTGTGTGTCTACGTGTGTCTGTGTGTCTGTGTGTGTACGTGTCTGTGTGTCTACGTGTCTGTGTGTCTACGTGTCTGTGTGTCTACGTGTCTATGTGTCTACGTGTCTGTCTACGTGTCTGTGTGTCTACGTGTCTGTGTGTGTACGTGTCTACGTGTCTGTGTGTCTGTGTGTCTACGTGTCTGTGTGTCTACGTGTCTACGTGTCTGTGTGTCTACGTGTCTGTGTGTCTGTGTATCTATGTGTCTGTGTGTGTACGTGTCTGTGTGTCTGTGTATCTACGTGTCTGTGTGTCTGTGTGTCTGTGTGTCTACGTGTCTGTGTGTCTACCTGTCTGTGTGTTTACGTGTCTGTGTGTCTACGTGTCTGTGTATCTACGTGTCTGTGTGTGTACGTGTCTGTGTGTCTACGTGTCTGTGTGTCTACGTGTCTGTGTGGTTACGTGTCTGTGTGTCTACGTGTCTGTGTATCTACGTGTCTGTGTGTCTACGTGTCTGTGTATCTACGTGTCTGTGTGTGTACGTGTCTGTGTGTCTACGTGTCTGTGTGTCTGTGTATCTACGTGTCTGTGTGTCTACGTGTCTGTGTGTCTACGTGTCTGTGTGTGTACGTGTCTGTGTGTCTACGTGTTTGTGTGTCTACGTGTCTGTGTGTCTGTGTATCTACGTGTCTGTGTGTCTACGTGTCTGTGTGTCTACGTGTCTGTGTGTGTACGTGTCTGTGTGTCTACGTGTCTGTGTGTCTACGTGTCTGTGTGTCTACGTGTCTGTGTGTCTACGTGTCTACATGTCTATGTGTCTGTGTGTCTACGTGTCTGTGTGTCTGTGTATCTACGTGTCTGTGTGTCTGTGTGTGTACGTGTCTGTGTGTCTGTGTGTCTACGTGTCTGTGTATCTATGTGTCTGTGTGTCTACGTGTCTGTGTGTCTGTGTATCTATGTGTCTGTGTGTCTACGTGTCTGTGTATCTATGTGTCTGTGTGTCTACGTGTCTGTGTGTGTACGTGTCTACGTGTCTGTGTGTGTACGTGTCTGTGTGTGTACGTGTCTGTGTGTCTACGTGTCTGTGTGTCTGTGTATCTACGTGTCTGTGTGTGTGTGTGTACGTGTCTGTGTGTGTACGTGTCTGTGTGTCTACGTGTCTGTGTGTCTGTGTATCTACGTGTCTGTGTGTGTGTGTGTACGTGTCTGTGTGTGTACGTGTCTGTGTGTCTACGTGTCTGTGTGTCTGTGTGTCTACGTGTCTGCGTGTGGTGTGATACAGACCCACGTACGGGACCGCGTGGTCCGTGAGCTGCGCTGTCCAGGCGAGTGGAAGGCTCCTCCGGGCCTGGTGGAGAGTGTGGCTCTCAGCCTCGTGGCTCAGCACCTGGGAGCCACAGCCTGCGACTACTCGCTGTGCCTCCTGTACCCAGAGAGCGGCCTGCAGCCCCACGCGGTTACTCACTCATTCAGCTACTCACTCACTCAGCTACTCACTCAGCTACTCACTCAGCTACTCACTCAGCTACTCACTCACTCAGCTACTCACTCACTCAGCTACTCACTCACTCAGCTACTCACTCACTCAGCTACTCACTCAGCTACTCACTCACTCAGCCACTCACTCACTCAGCTACTCACTCACTCAGCTACTCACTCACTCAGCTACTCACTCACTCAGCTACTCACTCACTCAGCTACTCACTCAGCTACTCACTCACTCAGCTACTCACTCACTCAGCTACTCACTCACTCAGCTACTCACTCACTCAGCTACTCACTCAGCTACTCCTCACCCAGCTACTCACCTCACTCAGCTACTCACTCACTCAGCTACTCACTCACTCAGCTACTCACTCAGCTACTCACTCACTCAGCTACTCACTCACTCAGCTACTCACTCACTCAGCTACTCACTCAGCTACTCACTCAGCTACTCACTCACTCAGCTACTCACTCACTCAGCTACTCACTCAGCTACTCACTCACTCAGCTACTCACTCACTCAGCTACTGACTCACTCAGCTACTCACTCACTCAGCTACTCACTCACTCAGCTACTCACTCACTCAGCTACTCACTCACTCAGCTACTCACTCAGCCACTCAGTTACTCACTCAGCTACTCACTCAGCTACTCACTCACTCAGCCACTCAGCTACTCACTCAGCTACTCACTCACTCAGTACTCACTCACTCAGCTACTCACTCACTCAGCTACTCACTCAGCTACTCACTCACTCAGCTACTCACTCACTCAGCTACTCACTCAGCCACTCAGCTACTCACTCAGCTACTCACTCACTCAGCCACTCAGCTACTCACTCACTCAGTACTCACTCACTCAGCTACTCACTCAGCTACTCACTCACTCAGCTACTCACTCAGCTACTCACTCACTCAGCTACTCACTCACTCACTCAGCTACTCACTCACTCAGCTACTCAGCTACTCACTCACTCAGCTACTCACTCACTCAGCTACTCACTCAGCTACTCACTCACTCACTCAGCTACTCACTCACTCAGCTACTCACTCATTCAGCTACTCACTCACTCAGCTACTCAGCTACTCACTCAGCTACTCACTCACTCAGCTACTCACTCACTCAGCTACTCACTCACTCAGCTACTCACTCACTCAGCCACTCAGCTACTCACTCAGCTACTCACTCACTCAGTACTCACTCACTCAGCTACTCACTCACTCAGCTACTCACTCAGCTACTCACTCACTCAGCTACTCACTCACTCAGCTACTCACTCACTCAGCTACTCACTCAGCCACTCAGCTACTCACTCAGCTACTCACTCACTCAGCCACTCAGCTACTCACTCAGCTACTCACTCACTCAGTACTCACTCACTCAGCTACTCACTCAGCTACTCACTCACTCAGCTACTCACTCAGCTACTCACTCACTCAGCTACTCACTCACTCACTCAGCTACTCACTCACTCAGCTACTCACTCAGCTACTCACTCACTCAGCTACTCACTCACTCAGCTACTCACTCAGCTACTCACTCACTCACTCAGCTACTCACTCACTCAGCTACTCACTCACTCAGCTACTCACTCACTCAGCTACTCAGCTACTCACTCAGCTACTCACTCACTCAGTACTCACTCACTCAGCTACTCACTCACTCAGCTACTCACTCACTCAGTACTCACTCACTCACTCAGCTACTCACTCACTCAGCTACTCACTCAGCTACTCACTCACTCACTCAGCTACTCACTCACTCAGCTACTCACTCACTCAGCTACTCACTCACTCACTCAGCTACTCACTCACTCAGCCACTCAGCTACTCACTCAGCTACTCACTCACTCAGCTACTCACTCACTCACTCAGCTACTCACTCACTCAGCTACTCACTCACTCAGCTACTCACTCAGCCACTCACTCACTCAGCTACTCACTCACTCAGCTACTCACTCACTCAGCTACTCACTCAGCTACTCACTCACTCAGTACTCACTCACTCACTCAGCTACTCACTCACTCACTCAGCTACTCACTCACTCAGCTACTCACTCAGCTACTCACTCACTCAGCTACTCACTCACTCAGCTACTCACTCAGCTACTCACTCACTCACTCAGCTACTCACTCACTCAGCTACTCACTCACTCAGCTACTCACTCACTCAGCTACTCAGCTACTCACTCAGCTACTCCACTCACTCAGTACTCACTCACTCAGTACTCACTCACTCAGCTACTCACTCACTCAGCTACTCACTCACTCAGCTACTCACTCACTCAGCTACTCACTCACTCAGCTACTCACTCAGCTACTCACTCACCTACTCAGCTACTCACTCACTCAGCTACTCACTCACTCAGCTACTCACTCACTCACTCAGCTACTCACATTCACTCAGACCACTCAGCTACTCACTCAGCTACTCACTCACTCAGCTACTCACTCACTCACTCAGCTACTCACTCACCCACTCAGCTACTCACCTCAGCTACTCACTCAGCCACTCACTCACTCAGCTACTCACTCACTCAGCTACTCACTCACTCAGCTACTCACTCAGCTACTCAGCTACTCACTCAGCTACTCAGCTACTCACTCAGCTACTCACTCACTCAGTACTCTACTCACTCAGCTACTCACTCACTCAGCTACTCATCACTCAGCTACTCACTCACTCACTCAGCTACTCACTCACTCAGCTACTCACTTCAGCTACTCACTCACTCACTCAGCTACTCACTCACTCAGCTACTCACTCACTCAGCTACTCCTCACTCACTCAGCTACTCACTCACTCAGCCACTCAGCTACTCACTCAGCTACTCACTCACTCAGCTACTCACTCACTCCACTCAGCTACTCACTCACTCAGCTACTCACTCAGCTACTCACTCAGCCACTCACTCACTCAGCTACTCACTCACTCAGCTACTCACTCACTCAGCTACTCACTCAGCTACTCACTCACTCAGTACTCACTCACTCACTCAGCTACTCACTCACTCAGCTACTCACTCAGCTACTCATTCACTCAGCTACTCACTCACTCAGCTACTCACTCACTCAGCTACCCACTCACTCAGCTACCCACTCACTCACTCAGCTACTCACTCACTCAGCTACTCACTCACTCAGCTACTCACTCACTCAGGTACTCACTCACTCAGCTACTCACTCACTCACTCAGCTACTCACTCACTCAGCTACTCGCTCACTCAGCTACTCACTCACTCAGCTACTCACTCAGTTAGCTCACTCACTCAACTCAGCTACTCACTCACCTCAGCTACTCACTCAGCTACTCACTCACTCAGCTACTCACTCAGCTACTCCTCACTCAGCTACTCACTCAGCTGCTCACTCAGCTACTCACTCAGCTACTCACTCTCTCAGCTACTCACTCACTCAGCTACTCACTCACTCAGCTACTCACTCACTCAGCTACTCACTCAGCTACTCACTCACTCACTCAGCTACTCACTCACTCAGCTACTCACTCAGCTGCTCACTCAGCTACTCACTCACTCAGCTACTCACTCACTCAGTACTCACTCACTCAGCCACTCAGCTACTCACTCATGCAACTACTCACTCACTCGGTCACTTACTCAACTACTCACTCAGCTACTCACTCAGCTACTCACTCACTCAGCTACTCACTCACTCAGCTACTCACTCACTCAGCTACTCACTCACTCGGTCACTTACTCAACTACTCACTCACTCAGCTACTCACTCACTCGGTCACTTACTCAACTACTCACTCAGCTACTCACTCAGCTACTTACTCAACTACTCACTCAGCTACTCACTCAGCTACTCACTCAGCTACTCACTCACTCAGCTACTCACTCAGTCACTCACTCACTCAACTACTCACTCACTCGGTCACTTACTCAACTACTCACTCACTCAGCTACTCACTCAGCTACTCACTCACTCAGCTACTCACTCAGCTACTCACTCAGCTACTCACTCACTCAGCTACTCACTCAGCTACTCACTCACTCAGCTACTCATTCTCTCGGTAACTCACTTAACGATTCACTCAGCTACTCAGTTACTCACTCACTCGGTCACTTACTCAACTACTCACTCAGCTACTCACTAACTCAGCTACTCACTCAACTACTCACTAAACTACTCACTAACTCAGCTACTCACTCACTCAGCTACTCACTCAGTCACTCAGTTATTCATTCACTCAGCTTCTGATGTTGATGTTGATGATGGTGTTGATGGTGGTGATGTTGCTGGTGACGTAGGTGATGGTGGTGATGTTGATGATGTTGATGTTGTTGATGGTGGTGATGTTGATGATGGTGTTGATGGTGGTGATGTTGCTGGTGATAGTGTTGATGGTGGTAGTGATGATAAGTGATGTTGATGTAGGTGATGGTGTTGATGGTAATGATGGTGTAGGTGATGGTGGTTGATGTTGATGATGGTGATGATGTTGATGATGGTGTTGATGGTAATAATGTTGTAGGTGATGGTGTTGATGGTGATGATGTTGATGATGGTGTTGATGGTAATGATGTTGTAGGTGATGGTGTTGATGGTAATGATGTTGTAGGTGATGGTGTTGATGGTGGTGATGGCGATGATGGTGATGATGGTGTTGATGGTAATGATGGTGTAGGTGATGGTGGTGATGGTGGTGATGGTGATGATGTTGATGATGGTGTTGATGGTAATAATGTTGTAGGTGATGGTGGTGATGGTGGTGATGGTGATGATGTTGATGATGGTGTTGATGGTAATGATGTTGTAGGTGATGGTGTTGATGGTGATGTTGATGTTGTTTTCTCCACAGGTATTAAAGCCAGAGGAGGTTTTGCGGGTTCTGGGTTTGAGCTCGGAGCGCTGGGCAGCACGGACAGTAAGAACACAGACAGACAAATGCACATCGACACAGACACAGTCAAAGATCACCCGTGTAGCCTCTAGCAGGGCTGTAGGGGCAAGTGCTGTTAGTAGCGAGTAGCAGCGCCACCTATGATGCACACACAGACAAAGCTCCCCCAGGTAGCCTCTAGCAGGGCTGTAGGGGCAAGTGCTGTTAGTAGCGAGTAGCAGCGCACTGGCACACGAGGGGGTGGGTGGTCAGCACCACACCCGCCCGGCCTTCTTTGTCTCCCCGCTGACGATGTTTACATACCGTACCAGGTGTTTGTTTGAGACTGAGTCGACCTAGGGGAGGCCCAGGACCGTTTCAGATCATCGCAATCACTGGTATAAGTCATAGATTCATCACGTGCACAGTCTCGTTATAAAGCCTGTTAACAATAGCCCAACGAAGCCTATGAGATTATCGCTCGTAGCTGATAAACAGCGTTGTCGGTAACGCAACTCCATTGGGACCATGTTATTGTGACCTCCTATAGCGCTGTTTCCTATAGCGCTGTCGGTAACGCAACTCCATTGGGACCATGTTATAGTGGCCTCCTATAGCGCTGTTTCCTATAGCGCTGTCGGTAACGCATCTCCATTGGGACCATGTTATAGTGGCCTCCGATAGCGCTGTTTCCTATAGCGCTGTCGGTAACGCAACTCCATTGAGGCCATGTTATAGTGACCTCCTACAGCGCTGTTTCCTATAGCGCTGTCGGTAACGCATCTCCATTGGGGCCATGTTATAGTGGCCTCCTATAGCGCTGTTTCCTATAGCGCTGTTGGTAACGCATCTCCATTGGGACCATGTTATAGTGACCTCCTATAGCGCTGTTTCCTATAGCGCTGTTGGTAACGCATCTCCATTGGGACCATGTTATAGGGACCTCCTATAGCGCTGTTTCCTATAGCGCTGTTGGTAACGCATCTCCATTGGGACCATGTTATAGGGACCTCCTATAGCGCTGTTTCCTGCCATCGTCGTCATCACGATCTGTGGGCAGCCCATAGCAGATGTTCGCTGCACATGTCACCATTCGTTTCCACTTTCCTCCAGAGGTCGCAACCGGGTACCCGATACCCGTACCCTACCCGATACCCGGCTACCCGTACCCGGCCGGGTACGGGTTCCCGTTTGCGACCCTGGTGCGGCCGGGTACGGGTAGGCCGTGAGTCACTGGTGAGTCACCGTTTGTCACTCATTTCGGGTAGGGTACGGGTACGGGTAGGCCGTGAGTCACCGGTGAGTCACCGTTTGTCACTCATTTCGGGTAGGGTACGGGTACGGGTAGGCCGTGAGTCACTGGTGAGTCACCACTTGTCACTCATTTCGGGTAGGGTAGGGTACGGGTAGGCCGTGAGTCACCGGTGAGTCACCGTTTGTCACTCATTTCGGGTAGGGTACGGGTACGGGTAGGCCGTGAGTCACTGGTGAGTCACCGTTTGTCACTCATTTCGGGTAGGGTACGGGTACGGGTAGGCCGTGAGTCACTGGTGAGTCACCGTTTGTCACTCATTTCGGGTAGGGTACGGGTACGGGTAGGCCGTGAGTCACTGGTGAGTCACCGTTTGTCACTCATTTCGGGTAGGGTACGGGTACGGGTAGGCCGTGAGTCACCGGTGAGTCACCGTTTGTCACTCATTTCCCAACGTCTTGTCTCTTCTCACAATTCAAGTTCCTAGAATCAACCCACCCGCGCCTGCATCTCCAGCTGATGCTGCACGAGTCGGCGGTGCGATTATCTCGAAGCGTCGTCTTGTGTTTCGTTTTGCTCTTGTTGCAGACTGCTGCTGCTGCTGTGGGCAGTGTGGGAGGAAGCCATCCGAGTGAGTTTCATTCACACGCCCTTCACCAGTGCTGGTGCACTACCACGTGTGTGTAGCTAGCGACTGGTTTCGACATGCAGTGTCTCAGCAGCAGCAGCAGCAGCGGGGCTCTGCTTGTATGTATCTATCTCTGTGTGTATCTATGTATCTCTTTCTCTGTGTGTGTCTCTGTGTGTGTATGTATCTATCTCTGTGTGTGTATCTATCTCTGTGTGTGTATATCTGTGTATCTCTCTGTGTGTATCTCTCTGTGTGTGTATATCTGTGTATCTCTCTGTGTGTATCTCTCTGTGTGTATAGCTCTATGTATCTCTCTGTGTGTGTATATCTCTATCTGTGTGTGTATATCTCTGTGTGTGTATGTATCTATATCTGTGTGTATCTCTCTGTGTGTATATCTGTGTGTATCTCTCTGTGTGTGTGTCTATCTATCTCTGTGTGTGTGTGTATCTCTCTGTGTGTATCTCTGTGTGTATATCTCTATGTATCTCTGTGTGTGTGTGTATCTATCTCTATGTGTGTATATCTTTATCTCTGTGTTTGTATCTCTCTGTGTATATCTGTGTATCTCTCTCTCTGTAGGTTTGTTACTCTGGCTGCTGGAAGAGCTCTCCGAGAGAGCGAGAGGGAGCGGCGTTCGCGATGAGGAGACACAGACCAGCCCTGAGGAGCGAGCGTGGGGCGAAACACTCGGTACTCACCAAAACACTCGCTACTCACCAACACACTCGCTACTCACCAAAACACTCGCTACTCACCAAGACACTCGCTACTCACCAAAACACTCGCTAGTCACCAAGACACTCGCTACTCACCAACACACTCGCTACTCACCAAAACATTCGCTACTCACCAAGACACTCGCTACTCACCAACACACTCGCTACTCACCAACACACTCGCTACTCACCAAAACACTCGCTACTCACCAAGACACTCGCTACTCACCAAAACACTCGCTAGTCACCAACACACTCGCTACTCACCAAAACACTCGCTACTCACCAACACACTCGCTACTCACCAAAACACTCGCTACTCACCAAAACACTCGCTACTCACCAACACACTCGCTACTCACCAAAACACTCGCTACTCACCAACACACTCGCTACTCACCAACACACTCGCTACTCACCAAAACACTCGCTACTCACCAACACACTCGCTACTCACCAAAACATTCGCTACTCACCAAGACACTCGCTACTCACCAACACACTCGCTACTCACCAAAACACTCGCTACTCACCAACACACTCGCTACTCACCAAAACACTCGCTACTCACCAAGACACTCGCTACTCACCAAAACACTCGCTAGTCACCAAGACACTCGCTACTCACCAACACACTCGCTACTCACCAAAACATTCGCTACTCACCAAGACACTCGCTACTCACCAACACACTCGCTACTCACCAACACACTCGCTACTCACCAAAACACTCGCTACTCACCAAGACACTCGCTACTCACCAAAACACTCGCTAGTCACCAACACACTCGCTACTCACCAAAACACTCGCTACTCACCAACACACTCGCTACTCACCAAAACACTCGCTACTCACCAAAACACTCGCTACTCACCAACACACTCGCTACTCACCAAAACACTCGCTACTCACCAACACACTCGCTACTCACCAACACACTCGCTACTCACCAAAACACTCGCTACTCACCAACACACTCGCTACTCACCAAAACATTCGCTACTCACCAAGACACTCGCTACTCACCAACACACTCGCTACTCACCAAAACACTCGCTACTCACCAACACACTCGCTACTCACCAAAACACTCGCTACTCACCAAGACACTCGCTACTCACCAAAACACTCGCTAGTCACCAAGACACTCGCTACTCACCAACACACTCGCTACTCACCAAAACATTCGCTACTCACCAAGACACTCGCTAGTCACCAAAACACTCGCTACTCACCAAAACACTCGGTACTCACCAAAACACTCGCTACTCACCAACACACTCGCTACTCACCAGGACACTCGCTACTCACCAAAACACTCGCTACTCACCAACACACTCGCTACTCACCAAAACACTCGCTACTCACCAACACACTCGCTACTCACCAACACACTCGCTACTCACCAAAACACTCGCTACTCACCAACACACTCGCTACTCACCAAAACATTCGCTACTCACCAAGACACTCGCTACTCACCAACACACTCGCTACTCACCAACACACTCGCTACTCACCAAGACACTCGCTACTCACCAAGACACTCGCTACTCACCAAAACACTCGCTAGTCACCAAAACACTCGCTACTCACCAAGACACTCGCTACTCACCAAGACACTCGCTAGTCACCAACACACTCGCTACTCACCAAAACACTCGCTACTCACCAACACACTCGCTACTCACCAAAACACTCGCTACTCACCAACACACTCGCTACTCACCAAAACACTCGCTACTCACCAAGACACTCGCTACTCACCAAAACACTCGCTAGTCACCAAGACACTCGCTACTCACCAACACACTCGCTACTCACCAAAACATTCGCTACTCACCAAGACACTCGCTAGTCACCAAAACACTCGCTACTCACCAAAACACTCGCTACTCACCAAAACACTCGCTACTCACCAACACACTCGCTACTCACCAGGACACTTGCTACTCACCAAAACACTCGCTCGCTCATGTGCCGTGGGCTGACTGCTGTGCCAGGCTAGATGCACCAGGAGGTCACTCACCACTCCCCACACTCGCTCACCCGCCAGTCAAAAGACAAAGATCCCCCGTGTAGCCTTAACAGGCTGTTGGGACAAGTGGTGTTAGTGAGTAGCACCTGTATATCTGTGTGTCTCTGTGTGTGTCTGTCTCTCCGTGTCTCTCTGTGTTTCCATCTCCATGACTCCGTGTCTCTCTCTCCGTGTCTCTCTCTCCGTGTCTCTCTCTCTCCGTGTCTCTCTCTCCGTGTCTCTCCGTGTCTGTCTCTGTGTCTCTCTCTCCGTGTCTCTCTCCTTATCTCTCTCTCCGTGTGTCTCTCTCTCCGTGTCTCTGTGTGTCACTGTACCCAGGGGAGAGGCTTCGCTGCATCGACCGCGAGTTTTCGGCGGCTGTCCGGGACCCCGAGGGAGCAGTCGGGTCCGGACTCCACCGGCTGGAGCTGCAGGTGGAGCGGCGAGTCCGAGAGGAGGTGGACACCAGGGTGAGACACTCTGCCTGTGTGTGTGTCTGTGTGTCTGTGTGTGTGTGTGTCTGTCTGTGTGTCTGTGTGTGTGTGTGTGTCTGTCTGTGTGTGTGTCTGTGTGTCTGTGTGTGTGTGTGTCTGTGTGTCTGTGTGTCTGTGTGTGTGTGTCTGTCTGTGTGTCTGTGTGTGTGTGTCTGTGTGTTTGTGTGTCTGTGTGTGTGTGTGTCTGTCTGTGTGTCTGTCTGTGTGTGTCTGTGTGTCTGTGTGTGTGTGTCTGTGTGTGTCTGTGTGTGTGTGTGTGTGTCTGTGTGTGTGTCTGTCTGTGTGTGTCTGTGTGTCTGTGTGTGTGTCTGTGTGTGTTTGTGTGTGTGTGTCTGTGTGTGTGTCTGTCTCTGTGTATGTCTCTGTGTGTGTGTCTGTGTGTCTGTCTGTGTGTATGTCTGTCTGTCTGTGTGTGTATGTGTCTGTCTGTGGCTGTGTCGTGTAGCCCGCATGCCCAGCCACCACACGCCTATACAGCTTTTGTTCGGCCGGATCGAGGGGGCTAAACGGGCGCGGCACGGGCTAGAGAAGAGATGGAGTGATGTGGTACAGGAGGACGTGGAGCTGAGTGGACTTGCCGATGACTGGTACCAGTGGTGTCAAGATCGGCCTCTGTGGAGGAGGCTCGTGAAGGACGCTACTGGGCAGTTGGAGGCAGTCGCCCTCCAGCAACAACGGAGGGCGGAGGAGCGACGCTCACAACAACGAGCGGAGCCCCGTGTAGCTAAAGCACAGCAAGTTGGCACAGTAGGGGGCACAGGTGGTGCATCAGCCAGTCATCTCGGTCATCTCGGTCAGTCGACCCGTGGCACCTGCTGGGTCTGCCCCGTGACCTCCTGCCAGCGGGCGTTCGACACTTCACGTGGCCTCAAGGTGCACTTGGCCTGGCACAAGCATCGTGGTGACGTCACCGCCACTTAGTTGCGAATGGCGGTTGTTGTTGTTGTGTCTGTCTGTGTATCTGTCTGTCTGTGTATCTGTGTCTGTCTGTGTGTGTCTGTCTGTCTGTCTGTGTGTCTGTCTGTCTGTGTATCTGTGTGAGCAATGCCATGGGGAAGGGATGGCCAATTTAAATTTGCTATTCCCCTCATGGCGTCTGTAGCCACCACAGTGGCCAAAGGCGGCTCTGGACGGGTGCCAGGGGTTGGAAACCCCTCCACCTTCAACCTCAGTACCACTAAATTACGTGGGAAAATTCTAACTAATCAGCTTGTGCCGGAGGCCCCGGGGGGACAGGCATCTGTGACGTCTCCTGGCCAAACCCCAATTGGCGGAGCCAGGAGGCTGAATCTTCACCCTCGGGGCACCTCCAGAAACAGAAAAAAGCCACTGCGGGTAGCCACGTGGAATGTTCGAACGCTCACTGCGGAGGAGAGGCTGCCACTCCTCTGTCGGGAGCTGGACCGGCACCGCCTGGATCTCTGTGGCATTCAGGAGGTCCGGTGGACCGGCTCTGGGTCCTGCCACCATGAGGGGTGGACAGTCCTCTACTCGGGGCAGGAGACTGCCAAACAACAGGGAGTGGCTCTTCTTCTGAACAAAAGAATGAAGGGGGCGTGGGAGCGTGACGGTGAGGTGTGGGAAGCTGTAAGCCCCAGGCTACTGTGGGCTCGCCTTCCCATCAACGGGAGGCGAGGAGTGGTGGTGGTTACTTATGCCGCCAACTAAGACGAACATCCGTGGAGGGATGCAGGCAAGGCCGATGAGTCAGATGCCTTCTATGACCTCCTTTCACAGGTGCTGGCTAAAGTGGCCACTCGGGACAGAGTCATCTTGTTGGGTGACTTCAATGCCCGAGTTGGTCATGATGCTGGCACCTGGTCTGGAGTGATTGGAAGGCATGGGCCAGATCAGCTCAATAACAACGGTAGGAGGCTGCTAGACTTTTGCTCAGCCCATGGGCTTGTAATTACCAACACGCTGTTCCGGCATCGGCGCATCCACACCACATCGTGGATGCACGTATCCCAGGTGCGTGAGCTCACGGAGCGTGAGGCGGTGCAGAGCCAACGCCGGGGTGGTGGTGGTGGTGGGGAGCGGCAGCAGCAGCAGGAGCAGCAGCTGCAGCAGCAGCAGCGTCACCGCCGCGAGGAGCTGGAGTGGAGCCACGCGGCCTCGTCCAAGCTGTGGCGCCAACGCCAGAAGGTTGTGACACACGCAGCACTCGCACACACACTGACACACACAGACACACACACACTGACACACAGTGACACACAGTGACACACACACACACTGACACACGCAGCACTCGCACACACACACAGTGACACACACGCACACAGACACACACAGTGACACAGACACAGACACACACACACTGACACACACAGACACACACACAGACACACACACAGACTGACACTCGCACACACTGACACTCGCACACACACAGACACAGACAGACACACACAGTAACACACACACACACTGACACACACACAACAACAACAACCGCCATTCGCCACTAAGTGGCGGTGATGTCACCACAACGCTTGTGCCAGGCCATGTGCACCTTGAGGCTGCCACGTGAAGTGTCGAACGCCCGCTGGCAGGAGGTCACGGGGCAGACCCAGCAGGTGCCACGGGTCGACTGACCGAGATGACCGAGATGACTGGCACATACAGACCCACAGACTCACCACACAGAGACCCACAGACTCACCACACAGAGACCCACAGACTCACCACACAGAGACCCACAGACTCACCACACAGAGACTAATAGACTCATCACACAGAGATCCAGAGACTCACCACCCAGAGACCCATAGACTCACCAGACAGAGACCCACAGACTCACCACACAGAGACCCACAGACTCACCACACAAAGACCCACAGACTCACCAGACAGAGACCCACAGACTCACCACACAGAGACTCTATAGATTCATCACACAGAGTGTGTGTGTTGCGTGTGTGTTGCGTGTGTGTTGCGTGTGTGTTGCGTGTGTGTTGCGTGTAACCAGGATGAGGAGCGGGCGCTGTACCAGGAGAGGCAGACGCTGCTGAGAGAAGCCGAGACTCTGAGGGCGCGAGAGGCGCAGCACCAACTCCACGTGCAGAACACGGACACGTGAGTGGGGGGGGGGGGGGTGGTGTGTGAGTGAGTGGTGGTGGTGGTGCGTGAGTGGGGTGATGGTGGTGGTGAGTGGGTGGGTGGTGGTGGTGGTGCGTGAGTGGGTGGGGGTGGTGGTGGTGGTGAGTGAGTGAGTGAGTGGGGTGGTGGTGGTGGTGGTGGTGCATGAGTGGGGTGGTGGTGGTGAGTGAGTGGGGGGGTGGTGGTGGTGGTGAGTGAGTGAGTGAGCTGGTGGTGAGTGAGTGGGGTGGTGGTGGTGGTGAGTGAGTGAGTGAGTGGGGTGGTGGTGGTGCGTGAGTGGGGTGGTGGTGGTGAGTGGTGGTGGTGGTGGTGAGTGAGTGAGGTGGTGAGTGAGTGAGTGGGGTGGTGGTGGTGGTGGTGAGTGAGTGGGGTGGTGAGTGAGTGGGGTGGTGGTGGTGGTGGTGGTGGTGGTGTGTGAGTGGTGGTGGTGGTGGTGAGTGGTGGTGGTGGTGGTGGTGAGTGAGTGGGGGGGTGGTGGTGGTGGTGGTGAGTGAGTGAGTGGGGGGGTGGTGGTGGTGGTGGTAGTGAGTGAGTGGGGGGGTGGTGGTGGTGGTGAGTGAGTGAGTGGGGGGTGGTGGTGGTGGTGTGTGAGTGGTGGTGGTGGTGGTGGTGGTGAGTGAGTGGTGGTGGTGAGTGAGTGGGGTGGTGAGTGAGTGGGGTGGTGGTGGTGGTGGTGGTGGTGTGTGAGTGGTGGTGGTGGTGGTGAGTGAGTGGGGGGGTGGTGGTGGTGGTGGTGAGTGAGTGAGTGGGGGGGGTGGTGGTGGTGGTGGTGAGTGAGTGAGTGGGGTGGTGGTGGTGGTGGTGGTGAGTGAGTGAGTGGGGGGGTGGTGGTGGTGGTGGTGGTGAGTGAGTGAGTGGGGGGTGGTGGTGGTGGTGGTGTGTGAGTGGTGGTGGTGGTGGTGAGTGAGTGGTGGTGGTGAGTGAGTGGGGTGGTGAGTGAGTGGGGTGGTGGTGGTGGTGGTGGTGTGAGTGGTGGTGGTGGTGAGTGAGTGAGTGGGGGGGTGGTGGTGGTGCTGAGTGAGTGGGAGGTGGTGGTGGTGGTAGTGAGTGGTGGTGGCCTCTGAAATAAAATTGTCTTTAAAGAGAAATCATCTGTGTCTGAAACGAGACGTCTGACCCCACGGCTCTGTCCCTCCCTCCCCTCCCTCCCCTCACCTCCCTCCCCTCCCCTCCCCTCCCCTCCCCTCCCTCCCTCCCTCCCTCCCTCCCTCCCTCCCTCCCTCTCTCCCTCCCCTCCCTCCTTCCCTCCCCTCACCTCCCCTCCCTCCCTCCCCTCACCTCCCCTCCCTCCATCACCTCCCTCCCCTCCCTCCCCTCCCTCCCCTCCCTCCCTCACCTCCCTCCCCTCCCTCCCTCACCTCCCTCCCCTCCCTCCCCCCTCCCTCCCTCACCACCCTCCCTCACCTCCCTCACCTCCCTCCCCTCACCTCCCTCCCCGTCTGTGTGACGGACGCGTCACCTGCGGTGCCGAGCTCCGGGCAGCGCCCTGAGTGAGAGGGAGCGGCGGGTGCGGAGCGCCGAGGGGAGGCTGAGAAATCATCTGTGTCTGGAACGAAACGTCTAACCCCACGGCTCTGTCCCTCCCTCTCTCCCCTCCCCCCCTCCCTCCCCGTCTGTGTGACGGACGCGCTGCGGGCAGCGCCCTGAGTGAGAGGGAGCGGCGGGTGCAGAGCGCCGAGGGGAGACTCGGGGAGCGGGAGGCGGCGGCCATCGCCCTGGAGGAGACGTTCTCCCTCCGACTCCAGCAGCACAAGCTGGCGTGGGTCACCCCCCCCCACCCCTATCTGTCTGTGTGTGTGTGTGTCTGTGTGTGTGTGTCTGTGTGTGTGTGTGTGTCTTTGTGTGTATCTGTCTGTGTGTGTGTGTGTGAGTCTGTGTGTGTCTTTGTGTGTATCTGTCTGTGTGTGTGTGAGTCTGTGTCTGTGTGTGTCTTTGTGTGTATCTGTGTGTGTGTGAGTCTGTGTCTGTGTGTGTCTTTGTGTGTATCTGTGTGTGTGTGAGTCTGTGTCTGTGTGTGTCTTTGTGTGTATCTGTGTGTGTGTGAGTCTGTGTCTGTGTGTGTCTCTATGTGTATCTGTGTGTGTGTGAGTCTGTGTCTGTGTGTGTCTTTGTGTGTATCTGTGTGTGTGTGTGAGTCTGTGTGTGTCTCTATGTGTATCTGTGTCTGTGTGTGTGTGAGTCTCCAGTTTCACAGCAGAGGTCTCACTCCGAATCAGTCGAGCGGCAATATCTTTTCATCGGTTGCGTAACGCTGTGTGGAAGCTACCTGGTCTGTCGCTCTGCACGAAGCTTCGGGTCTTCTCGGCCACGGTCATTCCCTCCCTTCTCTACGCTTGTGAAACGTGGACCCCCCTAATGGAACATCTTCACCGGTTGGAAACATTTAGGCTGGCCTGCCTACGATCCAACCTGGGTTTAACCAGGCTGGATTGTGTGAGGAGCTCACAAATCCTTGAAAGATCTGGTCAAAGTCCCATCGGTGAGCTCCTCCGGCAGGCAAGGCTGCATTGGCTGGGTCATGTAGCCCGCATGCCCAGCCACCGCATGCCTAAACAGCTTTTGTTCGGCCGGATCGAGGGGGCTAAACGGGCGCGGCACGGGCTAGAGAAGAGATGGAGTGATGTGGTACAGGAGGACGTGGAGCTGAGTGGACTTGCCGATGAATGGTACCAGCGGTGCCAAGATCGGCCTCGGTGGAGGAGGCTCGTGAAGGACGCTACTGGGCAGTTGGAGGCAGTCGCCCTCCAACAACAACGGAGGGCGGAGGAGCGACGCTCACAACAACGAGCGGAGCGCCGGGTGGCTAAAGCACAGCAAGTTGGTACAGTAGGGGGCACAGGTGGTGCATCAGCCAGTCATCTCGGTCATCTCGGTCAGTCGACCCGTGGCACCTGCTGGGTCTGCCCCGTGACCTCCTGCCAGCGGGCGTTCGACACTTCACGTGGCCTCAAGGTGCACATAGCCTGGCACAAGCGTCGTGGTGACGTCACCGCCACTTAGTGGCGAATGTCGGTTATTGTTGTGAGTTTGTGTGTGTGTGTCTTTGTCTGTGTGTGTCTGTGTTGGCTGCTACTCGCTACTAAGAGCACTTGCCGCAGCAATCTGTGAAGGCTACATGGGGGACCTTTGTCTTTGCAGGCACGAGGTGAAAGTGCAGCAGGAATTTCAGGAGCGAAATCTCCGACTCGCCCAGCGGGAGGAGAGGCTGGCAGGTGGAGAGTGTGTGTCACGTGTGTGTCACTGTGTGTGTGTGTGTGTCACTGTGTCTGTGTGTATCAGTGTGTCTGTGTGTTAGTCTGTGTCTGTGCGTGTCTGTGTCTACGCACGTATCTTTGTGTCTGTGTTAGGTGCTACTCGCTTCTAACAGCACTTGCCCCAGCAGTCTGTTGAGGCTACATGGGCGTCTTTGTCTTTGTAGCGTCCGACCGGGAAACCCAGAAGCAACTCCAGCAGCTGCAGGAGGCTCGCTCCACCATCACTCACCTCCAGGTACTCACCACCATCACTCACCATCACTCACCACTCACCTACTCACCACCTACTCACCACCACCACCACCTCACCACCACCCACTCCTCACCACCACCCACTCCTCACCACCCACTCACTCACCACCCACTCACCACCCACTCCTCACCACCCACCCACTCCTCACCACCCACTCACTCACCACCACCCACTCCTCACCACCCACTCCTCACCACCACCACCTCACCACCACCCACTCCTCACCACCCACTCCTCACCACCTCCACCTCACCACCACCCACTCCTCACCACCCACTCCTCACCACCACCACCTCACCACCACCCACTCCTCACCACCCACTCCTCACCACCCACTCCTCACCACCCACTCCTCACCACCCACTCCTCACCACCACCCACTCCTCACCACCACCACCCACTCCTCACCACCACCCACTCCTCACCACCCACTCCTCACCACCACCACCTCACCACCACCCACTCCTCACCACCCACTCCTCACCACCACCACCTCACCACCACCCACTCCTCACCACCCACTCCTCACCACCACCACCTCACCACCACCCACTCCTCACCACCCACTCCTCACCACCACCACCTCACCACCACCCACTCCTCACCACCCACTCCTCACCACCACCACCTCACCACCACCCACTCCTCACCACCACCTCCACCTCACCACCATCTCCACACCACCACCCACGCCTTCACCTCACCTCCTCACCACCCACTCCTCACCACCACCACCTCACCACCCACTCCTCCTCCTCACCTCACCACCCCCTCACCACCTCCTCACCATGTCACCACCTCACCTCCTCACCCCCCCTCCCCACCTCCTCACCACCACCCACTCCTCCTCACCATGTCACCACCACCCACTCCTCACCACCCCCTCCCCACCTCCTCACCCCCCAGACGAATCCAAAGGGGCAGCTGTCACTGGGGGTGCCCCTGGGCGTGTCGTGAGGTACCCAGGTGGTGAAGTATGGCTGTCTCGTTGCCGTGGCAACGACTTTACAGGCTGAGCTGGCGGAGGCGAGGGAGGCGGTCCAAACGGCGACGAGGAAAGGTGAAGAGACCATCGCCGTGGCAACAAGGAGGGGGGAGGAGGCAGTCGCCGTGGCAACGAGGAGGGGGGAGGAGGCAGTCGCCGTGGCAACGAGGAGATGGGAGGAGGAGAGGGAAGGTGAGCATGGGGTGTGGGGTGAGTCAATGGGTGAGTTGGTGAGTGAGTGGGTGAGTGAGTGAGTGGGTGAGTGAGTGGGTGAGTGGGTGAGTGAGTGGGTGAGTGGGTGGGTGAGTGAGCATGGGGTGAGTGAGTGGTTGAGTTGGTGAGTGAGTGAGTGAGTGGGTGAGTGAGTGAGTGGTTGAGTTGGTGAGTGAGTGAGTGAGTGGGTGAGTGGGTGGGTGAGTGGGTGGGTGAGTGGGTGAGTGAGTGGGTGAGTGGTTGAGTGAGGTAGTGAGTGAATGAGTTGGTGAGTAGTTGAGTGAGTGGGTGAGTGGTTGAGTGAGTGAGGTAGTGAGTGAGTGAGTGAGGTAGTGAGTGAGTGAGTGGGTGAGTAGGTGAGTGAGTAGTTGAGTAGGTGAGTGAGTAGTTGAGTGAGTGAGTGGGTGAGTGAGTAGGTGAGTGAGTGGGTGAGTAGGTGAGTGAGTGAGCGGTTGAGTGGGTGAGTAGTTGAGTAGGTGAGTGAGTAGTTGAGTGAGTGGGTGAATGGGTGAGTGAGTAGTTGAGTGAGTGAGTGGTTGAGTGAGGTAGTGAGTGAGTGAGTAGTTGAGTAGTTGAGTGAGTGAGTGGGTGAGTGAGTGGGTGAGTGAGTGGGTGAGTAGTGAGTGAGTGAGTAGTTGAGTAGGTGAGTGAGTAGTTGAGTGAGTGAGTGAGTGGGTGAGTGAGTAGGTGAGTGAGTGGGTGAGTAGGTGAGTGAGTGAGTAGTGAGTGAGTGAGTGGGTGAGTAGTTGAGTAGGTGAGTGAGTGGGTGAGTGAGTAGGTGAGTGGGTGAGTGGTTGAGTGAGTGAGTGGGTGAGTGAGTAGGTGAGTAGGTGAGTGAGTAGTTGAGTAGGTGAGTGAGTAGTTGAGTGAGTGAGTGGGTGAGTGAGTAGGTGAGTAGGTGAGTGAGTAGTTGAGTGAGTGAGTGGGTGAGTGAGTAGGTGAGTGAGTAGGTGAGTAGGTGAGTGAGTAGTTGAGTAGGTGAGTGAGTAGTTGAGTAGGTGAGTGAGTAGCTGAGTGAGTGAGTGGGTGAGTGAGTAGGTGAGTGAGTAGGTGAGTAGGTGAGTGAGTAGTTGAGTAGGTGAGTGAGTAGTTGAGTGAGTGAGTGGGTGAGTGAGTAGGTGAGTGAGTAGGTGAGTAGGTGAGTGAGTAGTGAGTAGGTGAGTGAGTAGTTGAGTAGGTGAGTGAGTAGTTGAGTGAGTGGGTGAGTGAGTAGGTGAGTAGGTGAGTGAGTAGTTGAGTAGGTGAGGGAGTAGTTGAGTAGGTGAGTGAGTAGTTGAGTAGGTGAGTGAGTAGTTGAGTGAGTAGGTGAGTGAGTAGTTGAGTAGGTGAGTGAGTAGTTGAGTGAGTGAGTAGTTGAGTGAGTGAGTGGGTGAGTGAGTAGGTGAGTGAGTAGGTGAGTAGGTGAGTGAGTAGTTGAGTAGGTGAGTGAGTAGTTGAGTAGGTGAGTGAGTAGTTGAGTAGGTGAGTGAGTAGTTGAGTGAGTGAGTGGGTGAGTGAGTAGGTGAGTGAGTGGGTGAGTAGGTGAGTGAGTGAGTAGTGAGTGAATGGGTGAGTAGTTGAGTAGGTGAGTGAGTGGGTGAGTGAGTAGGTGGGTGGGTGAGTGGTTGAGTGAGTGAGTGGGTGAGTGAGTAGGTGAGTAGGTGAGTGAGTAGTTGAGTAGGTGAGTGAGTAGTTGAGTGAGTGAGTGGGTGAGTGAGTAGGTGAGTGAGTAGGTGAGTAGGTGAGTGAGTAGTTGAGTAGGTGAGTGAGTAGCTGAGTGAGTGAGTGGGTGAGTGAGTAGGTGAGTGAGTAGGTGAGTGAGTAGTTGAGTAGGTGAGTGAGTAGTTGAGTAGGTGAGTGAGTAGTTGAGTGAGTGAGTGAGTGGGTGAGTGAGTAGGTGAGTGAGTAGTTGAGTGAGTGAGTGAGTGGGTGAGTGAGTAGGTGAGTGAGTAGGTGAGTAGGTGAGTGAGTAGTTGAGTAGGTGAGTGAGTAGTTGAGTAGGTGAGTGAGTAGTTGAGTAGGTGAGTGAGTAGTTGAGTAGGTGAGTGAGTAGTTGAGTGAGTGGGTGAGTGAGTAGTTGAGTAGGTGAGTGAGTAGTTGAGTGAGTGAGTAGTTGAGTGAGTGAGTGGGTGAGTGAGTAGGTGAGTAGGTGAGTGAGTAGTTGAGTGAGTAGTAGTTGAGTGAGTGAGTGAGTAGGTGAGTGAGTAGTTAAGTAGGTGAGTGAGTAGTTGAGTAGGTGAATGAGTAGTTGAGTAGGTGAGTGAGTAGTTGAGTAGGTGAGTGAGTAGTTGAGTGAGTGAGTGGGTGAGTGAGTAGTTGAGTAGGTGAGTGAGTAGTTGAGTAGGTGAGTGAGTAGTTGAGTAGGTGAGTGAGTAGTTGAGTAGGTGAGTGAGTAGTTGAGTGAGTGGGTGAGTGAGTAGTTGAGTAGGTGAGTGAGTAGTTGAGTGAGTGAGTAGTTGAGTGAGTGAGTGGGTGAGTGAGTAGGTGAGTAGGTGAGTGAGTGAGTAGGTGAGTAGGTGAGTGAGTAGTTGAGTAGGTGAGTGAGTAGTTGAGTAGGTGAGTGAGTAGTTGAGTAGGTGAGTGAGTAGTTGAGTAGGTGAGTGAGTAGTTGAGTGAGTGAGTGGGTGAGTGAGTAGTTGAGTAGGTGAGTGAGTAGTTGAGTGAGTGAGTGGGTGAGTGAGTAGGTGAGTGAGTAGGTGAGTAGGTGAGTGAGTAGTTGAGTAGGTGAGTGGGTAGTTGAGTAGGTGAGTGAGTAGTTGAGTAGGTGAGTGAGTAGTTGAGTGAGTGAGTGGGTGAGTGAGTAGTTGAGTAGGTGAGTGAGTAGTTGAGTAGGTGAGTGAGTAGTTGAGTAGGTGAGTGAGTAGTTGAGTAGGTGAGTGAGTAGTTGAGTGAGTGGGTGAGTGAGTAGTTGAGTAGGTGAGTGAGTAGTTGAGTGAGTGAGTAGTTGAGTGAGTGAGTGGGTGAGTGAGTAGGTGAGTAGGTGAGTGAGTAGTTGAGTAGGTGAGTGAGTAGTTGAGTAGGTGAGTGAGTAGTTGAGTAGGTGAGTGAGTAGTTGAGTAGGTGAGTGAGTAGTTGAGTGAGTGAGTGGGTGAGTGAGTAGTTGAGTAGGTGAGTGAGTAGTTGAGTGAGTGAGTGGGTGAGTGAGTAGGTGAGTGAGTAGGTGAGTAGGTGAGTGAGTAGTTGAGTAGGTGAGTGGGTAGTTGAGTAGGTGAGTGAGTAGTTAAGTAGGTGAGTGAGTAGTTGAGTAGGTGAGTGAGTAGTTGAGTGAGTGAGTGGGTGAGTGAGTAGTTGAGTAGGTGAGTGAGTAGTTGAGTGAGTGAGTAGTTGAGTGAGTAGGTGAGTGAGTGGGTGAGTAGGTGAGTGAGTGAGTGAGTAGGTGAGTGAGTGAGTGAGTAGTTGAGTGAGTGAGTGGGTGAGTAGTGAGTGAGTGAGTAGTGAGTGAGGTATCGTCCCGTGTGGTTGCCGTGCTGGCAGGTCTGCGGGGAGCCGTGCTGCGTCTGGAGACGGAGCTCAACGCGGCGAGAGAGGAGACCTCACGGCAAAGACTCGCACGGCAGCGGGACTCGGACTCACAGGTGACTCACCCACTCACTCACTCAGCCACTCACTCACCCACTTACTCACTCAACCACTCACCCACTCACTCACTCACTCAGCCACTCACTCACCCACCCACTCACTCAGCCACTCACCCACTCACTCAGCCACTCACCCACTCACTCAGCCACTCACCCACTCACTCACCCACTCACTCACTCACCTACTCACTCACCCACTCACTCACTCACTCACCTACTCACTCACCCACTCACTCACTCAGCCACTCACCCACCCACTCACTCACTCACCCACTCACTCACCCACTCACCCACTCACTGACCCACTCACTCACTCACCCACTCACTCACTCACCCACCCACCCACTCACCCACCCACCCACTCACCCACCCACCCACCCACCCACCCACTCACCCACCCACCCACCCACCCACCCACTCACCCACCCACCCACTCACCCACCCACCCACCAGTCCCTCTCTCCTCCTCTCCGGAGTAGGTGGAGCGGATGTCGACTCTGAGGAAGGAGCTGCGACTCCAGCAGGAACACAACCAGCTGCTGGAGAGGCAGATCACGCTCACGGGTACCACGCTCACCCACACGCTCACCCGCACGCTCACCCCACGCTCACCCGCACTCTCACCCACATGCTCACAGGTACCACACTCACCCACACGCTCACCCACACGCTCACCCACACGCTCACCCACCCACTCACTCACACGCCACACACACACGTCACATACACACGCTCACTCACTCACACACACACGCTCACCCACACGCTCACTCACTCACACACACACGCTCACCCCACGCTCACCCACACGTCACACACACACACACACGCTCACAGGTACCACGCTCACCCACACGCTCACCCCACGCTCACCCACACGCTCACCCACACGTCACACACACACGCTCACAGGTACCACGCTCACCCCACGCTCACCCACACGCTCACCCACACGTCACACACACACGCTCACAGGTACCACGCTCACCCCACGCTCACCCCCACGCTCACCCCCACGCTCACCCCACGCTCACCCACACGCTCACCCGCACACCTACACGCTCACCCGCACGCTCACCCGCACGCTCACCCACACACACACATGTCACACACACGCTCACTCACATGCTCACCCACACGCTCACCCACACGCTCACCCACCCACTCACTCACACGTCACACACACACGTCACACACACACGCTCACTCACTCACCCCCACACACACACGCTCACCCACACTCTCACCCACACGCTCACCCACACGCTCACCCGCACTCTCACCTGCACGCTTACCCACACACACACACGTCACACACACACACGCTCACTCACATGCTCACCCACACGCTCACTCACACGCCCCTCCCTCTCCGTCTTTCCTCACATCACTCCTCCTCCACCCCCACCTCCACCTCCTCCTCCATCAGCCGGAGGTCCACGATCACCACCCCCACCTCCACCTCCTCCACCCCGCCTCGCGCGCTCTCCATCTCCGGACTTCCTGGCCGAGTCTCAGCGGCGCGTGCGACAGCTGGAGCTTCAGGCCCTCAGCCTGGAGGACGCCTACAGGCGCTGCGCTACAAACGCCACCGCCACCGCTACGAGCTTCGCCCAAACAGATATCCTCATCCCATCGTTGTCATCGCTGCCGTCGTCATCGGCGGACGTGAGTTAGAACGCACGCTTGATGCGGAAATTGAGGGGCTTTGTTATACAACTTTCCGGCAAGAATAACACCTACAGGCGCTGCGCTACAAACGCCGCCACCGCCGCTACGAGCTTCGCCCAAACAGATATCCTCATCCCATCATCGTCGTCATCGCCGCCGTCGTCGTCGGCGGACGTGAGTTAGAACGCTCGCTTGATGCGGAAATTGAGGGGCTTTGTTATACAACTTTCCGGCTAGAATAACACCGCAGGAGGTGCTGAGATGTTCCGACAGCTAATATACACTGATAACACTGGTCAACACACTTGTTCTGGCATGAGGTATTCCAACGGTTTTAAGGTAATTTTTGGGGGTGCCGATTCCAAATCTGGCATCAGTTTTTGTCTATCACATCAGGTTTTTGAGATATCAAATATTGCATTTTCAATCAAAACTGCGGATGAAAAATACTAAATAAATGTGGATATCTACATAAAATTATATTATAAACACACTATCCTAAAAAATACAGCACCATATTTTAACACTAAAGCAGTCACTGACTCGCAACAACTTGCAATCATAAGTGACAGAGTTAATTTGGGGTAAAATCAATGAAAATGGGGTATGCCGATAGCATAAAAAATTAACCCGTAAAAACAAAGTTTTTCACTATAAAACCTTTATATGCGTGGCATCGGTTTTATTTTATTATTAATTTCTGTTTTTCTTGAGTAAGCGTTTCATTTTTATTAAATATGAAATTTTTTTTTTTCCTAAAAAGTGTAAAATGTTGGACATTTTTTTTCACGAAAATAAATTGTCACGCACAACGAGTCTGTGTGCAAAATGTCAGCTCGATTGGATCACGGGAAGTGGGTTTAAACAACGACCGAAAGATTTGCACGGTCGTAAGCGCGCAAGCAAGCAAGCAAGTGAACTTAATATAAAGGATTTAAAAATGAGGTGTGATAGAGCAAATCTGAGATCAGATTTGGAATCGGCACCCTGAAATTAGTCTAGAACAGCTGCAAAAGTCCAGGCCATAAAAAAATGGGTTTTATTTGTTGACCAGTGTAATGATTACCGCTACGAGGAATCATCATTATCATCATCATCATCATGTTGTCTGCGTTAACCACAAATCTTGTAGTTAAAGCGTGCAAATAAACACGCTCTGATCATAATGCAAGAATTGTCCCTGCAACTGATTGGTCTAGAGCAGACCTACAGCCTCCTCCTCCTCTATGTGTTTGTCTCAGCGTTGAGTCTGTGGGCAATGTTGAGTCTATGGTGCTTTGTGTGGTGAGTCTGTGGGTCTCTGTGTGGTGAGTCTGTGGGTCGCTGTGTGGTGAGTCTGTGGGTCTCAGTGTGGTGAGTCTGTGGGTCTCTGCGTGGTGAGTCTGTGGGTCGCTGTGTGGTGAGTCTGTGGGTCTCAGTGTGGTGAGTCTGTGGGTCTCTGCGTGGTGAGTCTGTGGGTCTCTGTGTGGTGAGTCTGTGGGTCTCTGTGTGGTGAGTCTGTGGGTCTCTGCGTGGTGAGTCTGTGGGTTTCTGTGTGGTGAGTCTGTGGGTCTCTGTGTGGTGAGTCTGTGGGTCTCTGCGTGGTGAGTCTGTGGGTCTCTGTGTGGTGAGTCTGTGGGTCTCTGCGTGGTGAGTCTGTGGGTCTCTGCGTGGTGAGTCTGTGGGTCTCTGTGTGGTGAGTCTATGGGTCTCTGTGTGGTGAGTCTGTGGGTCTCTGTGTGGTGAGTCTGTGGGTCTCTGCGTGGTGAGTCTGTGGGTCTCTGTGTGGTGAGTCTGTGGGTCTTTGTGTGGTGAGTCTGTGGGTCTCTGTGTGGTGAGTCTGTGGGTCTTTGTGTGGTGAGTCTGTGGGTCTCTGTGTGGTGAGACTATGGGTCTCTGTGTGGTGATTCTGTGGGTCTCTGTGTGGTGAGTCTGTGGGTCTTTGTGTGGTTAGTCTGTGGGTCTCTGTGTGGTGAGTCTGTGGGTCTCTGTGTGGTGAGTCTGTGGGTCTCTGTGTGGTGAGTCTGTGGGTCTTTGTGTGGTGAATCTGTGGGTCTTTGTGTGGTGAGTCTGTGGGTCTTTGTGTGGTGAGTCTGTGGGTCTCTGTGTCGTGAGTCTGTGGGTCTCTGTGTGGTGAGTCTGTGGGTCTCTGTGTGGTGAGTCTTTGGGTCTCTGTGTGGTGAGTCTTTGGGTCTCTGTGTGGTGAGTCTGTGGGTCTCTGTGTGGTGAGTCTGTGGGTCTCTGTGTGGTGAGTCTGTGGGTCTCTGTGTGGTGAGTCTATGGGTCTCTGTGTCGTGAGTCTGTGGGTCTCTGTGTGGTGAGTCTGTGGGTCTCTGTGTGGTGAGTCTGTGGGTCTCTGTGTGGTGAGTCTGTGGGTCTCTGTGTGGTGAGTCTGTGGGTCTCTGTGTGGTGAGTCTGGGCAATGTTGAGTCTATGGGTCTCTGTGTGGTGAGTCTATGGATCTCGCTGTTAATCTACGACTCTGTGTAAGTCTATGGCTGCTGCTATCAATGTCCCCGTGATGATGATGTTGATCTGTGCCACTCGTTTGAGCTGTCGTTAACGTGTGGCCAGGAGCTCCCTTCTTTTGGAAGTGATGGAATTCCACGTGTTTGAGGTCATTCTCAGTGAACCACGTGAGTCTCGCGTCCTCCAATGGACCAACGGTGTCGTTCACTTATTCTTTGGTTCTTTCGGTTAAGTCACGTATAAAGATAAAATAATAAATTAAATAATAGCATACTACGACGTTTCGATTGCAACACAAGCAATCGTCATCAGGCATAAAAGAAATAGCAACAAAAATCTAACCAGAAAACTATAGACAGACACACAAGCAGACAGACATCACAAAGACACACAGAGAGAGAACTTTCTGCCGATACGTGTTCTCTCTCTGTGTGTCTTTGTGATGTCTGTCTGCTTGTGTGTCTGTCTATAGTTTTCTGCTTAGATTTTTGTTGCTATTTCTTTTATGCCTGATGATGATTGTTTGTGTTGCAATCGAAACGTCATAGTATGCTATTATTTAATGTATTATTTTATCTTTATACGTGACTTTACTGAAAGAACCAAAGAATAATTCCTGCAGTCACGAAAGCTCCAAAATTGAGATTGGTGTCGTTCAACTTAACTTTGCATCACAGCGGGGCCACCATCTCCACCGCCACCAGCACCACCAGCGCACCACCAGCGTGTGGACAGGGAGAGGGGGAGGGAGATGGGACCTGGGGCTGGGAGCTCGGGCCGAGGGCGTGGGAGGGGAGAGACGCGGGGAGGAGAGGGACACGGGGATGGCGGCCGCGTGGTTAGAGAGAGACGAGACGGGGATAGGGACATGGACAACAGGGACGGAGAGAGAGAGAGGGCTCGAGATGGACAGGATAGTGATGGGGAGACACAATACAGGGACAGAGAGAGAGACATGGAGAGAGAGAGACATGGGACTAGATGGACAGACAGGGACAGAGAGAGAGACATCAGGACCAGAGAGAGAGACATGGAGACAGAGAGACAGAGAGACGTGGAGACAGACAGGACTAGATAGAGACAAGGGACTAGATGGACAGACAGGACGAGAGAGAGAGACAGTGATAGAGAGAGAGACATGGAGAGAGAGAGACATGGGACTAGATGGACAGACAGGGGTAGAGAGAGAGACATGGAGACAGACAGGCCGAGAGAGAGACAAGGGACTAGATGGACAGACAGGACGAGAGAGACAGGCAGGAATAGAGAGGCAGGAGCCGGGGCTACAGACACGGATGGAGATGCACGGTTGGGATACAGACGATGCAGCCCAGGCCCAGGGGAACGTGGGACTGGGCACACGGGGACAGGAGGGGAGACACGGACGAGAGAGAGAGAGACGGAGCGTGGAGATAGATGGAGAGGGGGAGGAGGTGGTGGAGGTGGAGGAGGTGGTGGAGGAGGTGGAGGAGGTGGTGGAGGAGGAGGAGGTGGAGGACATCCGGGTCGACTGCCCTATCACCCCTGGCGGCGGTGAAAACCAACGCTCGCTCGACCAATCGGAGCGGAGCGATCGTCACGACCACATCCAATCGCGTCGCGACCAATCGGATGGCGTTGTTTGCCTTGCCGTCGACCAATCGGATCGCAGCATCCGCGTCGACGGGGACCAGGCAGATGGCGGGCCGCAGAACGCAGGCGACCGATTGGATGGCGCCGAACCGCCCGCTCTCGACCAATCAGGCGGCTCCTCCCGTGCAGGTGAGAGCACACGTGCCAACGATGACGTCACCACAGCGCTTGTGCCCGGCTGGGTGCACTTTGAGGCGTGAATTGTCGAAGGCCCGCTGGCAAGGAGACGGTGTGTGTGTGTGTGTAACGCTACTGTGTGTGTGTGTGTGTGTAATGCTACTGTGTGTGTGTGTGTGTGTAACGCTACTGTGTGTGTGTGTAACGCTACTGTGTGTGTGTGTAACGCTACTGTGTGTGTCTGTGTAACGATACTGTGTGTGTGTAGCGCTACTGTGTGTGTGTGTAACACTACTGTGTGTGTGTGTGTAATGAGACTGTGTGTGTGTAACACTACTGTGTGTGTGTGTGTAATGAGACTGTGTGTGTGTGTAATGAGACTGTGTATGTGTGACGTGGTTCTCAGCTGACACTGAGATGCGGGGCGGTAGCAGCAGCAGTGGACCACAGCCCCTGGCAGAGGTGAGTGAGCGGCCGAGTGGATCAGTGGGAGAGTGAGTGGGTAGGTGGGTGTGTGGTGAGGTGGGAGAGTGAGTGGGTAGGTGGGTGTGTGGGTAGGTGGGTGAGTGAGTGGGTGGGTAGGTGGGTGTGTGGTCAGGTGGGTGTGTGGTCAGGTGGGTGAGTGGGTAGGTGGGTGTGTGGTGAGGTGGGTGAGTGGGTAGGTGGGTGTGTGGTGAGGTGGGTGAGTGAGTGGGTGGGTGTTTGGGTGCATGGTCAGGTGGGTGAGTGAGTGGGTGGATGTTTGGGTGCGTGGTTAGGTGGGTGAGTGAGTGAGTGTTTGAGTATGTGGTTAGGTGGGAGAGTGAGTGGGTGTTTGGGTGTGTGGTTAGGTGGGTGAGTGGGTGAATGGAAGAGTTGGTGAGTGAGTGGATGACTGGGTGGGTGAGTGGGTAGGTGAGTGGTTGTGTGAGTAAGTGGGTGGGTGAGTCGGTGGGTGAGTGGGTGGGTGAATGGGAGGGTGAGTGGGTGGGTGAGTGGGTGGGTGAGTAAGTGGGTGGATGAGTGGGTGTGTGTATCACATGACCAATGGAACATTTTGCACGAACATGAATCAATGTTAAAAACCCTGTCGTGTAAATCGGCTCAGGCAGATTGTGTCGACTGATCAATAACAATTACAACATTGATTTACAGAAACATGTCTGGAGCATTGTAAGTCTATGAGCAATGCTAGTCTCTGGGCAGTGTTGAGTCTATGGGCAGTGCTGAGTCTATGGGCTATGGCAGGTGAGTCTATGGGCAGTGTTGAGTCTATGGGCAGTGTTGAGTCTATGGGCAGTGTTTAGTCTATGGCAGTGTTGAGTCTATGGCAGTGTTGAGTCTATGGGCAGTGTTGAGTCTATGGGCAGTGTTGAGTCTATGGGCAGTGTTGAGTCTATGTGCAGTGTTGAGTCTATTGGCAGTGTTGAGTCTATGGGCAGTGTTGAGTCTATGGGCAGTGTTGAGTCTATGGGCAGTGTTGAGTCTACGTGTTGAGTCTATGGGCAGTGTTGAGTCTATGGCAGTGTTGAGTCTATGGGCAGTGTTGAGTCTATGGGCAGTGTTGAGTCTATGGGCAGTGTTGAGTCTATGGGCAGTGTTGAGTCTATGGCAGTGTTGAGTCTATGGGCAGTGTTGAGTCTATGGCAGTGTTGAGTCTATGGGCAGTGTTGAGTCTATGGGCAGTGTTGAGTCTATGGGCAGTGTTGAGTCTATGGGCAGTGTTGAGTCTATGGGCAGTGTTGAGTCTATGGGCAGTGTTGAGTCTATGGGCAGTGTTGAGTCTATGGGTAGTGTTGAGTCTATGGGCAGTGTTGAGTCTATGGGCAGTGTTGAGTCTATGGGCAGTGTTGAGTCTATGGGCAGTGTAGTCTATGGTAGTGTTGAGTCTATGGGCAGTGTTGAGTCTATGGGCAGTGTTGAGTCTATGGGCAGTGTTGAGTCTATGGGCAGTGTTGAGTCTATGGGCAGTGTTGAGTCTATGGTGCAGTGTTGAGTCTATGGGCAGTGTTGAGTCTATGGGCAGTGTTGAGTCTATGGGCAGTGTTGAGTCTATGGGCAGTGTTGAGTCTATGGGCAGTGTGAGTCTATGGGCAGTGTTGAGTCTATGGGCAGTGTTGAGTCTATGGGCAGTGTTGAGTCTATGGGCAGTGTTGAGTCTATGGGCAGTGTTGAGTCTATGGGCAGTGTTGAGTCTATGGGCAGTGTTGAGTCTATGGGCAGTGTTGAGTCTATGGGCAGTGTTGAGTCTATGGGCAGTGTTGAGTCTATGTGTAGTCTATGGTGCAGTGTTGAGTCTATGGGCAGTGTTGAGTCTATGGGCAGTGTTGAGTCTATGGGCAGTGTTGAGTCTATGGGCAGTGTTGAGTCTATCGGCAGTGTTGAGTCTATGGGCAGTGTTGAGTCTATGGGCAGTGTTGAGTCTATGGCAGTGTTGAGTCTATGGGCAGTGTTAGTCTATGGGCAGTGTTGAGTCTATGGGCAGTGTTGAGTCTATGGGCAGTGTTGAGTCTAGTGCAGTGTTAGTCTATGGGCAGTGTTGAGTCTATGGGCAGTGTTGAGTCTATGGGCAGTGTTAGTCTATGGGCAGTGTTGAGTCTATGGGCAGTGTTGAGTCTATGGGTAGTGTTGAGTCTATGGGCAGTGTTGAGTCTATGGGCAGTGTTGAGTCTATGGCAGTGTTGAGTCTATGGGCAGTGTGAGTCTATGGGCAGTGTTGAGTCTATGGGCAGTGTTGAGTCTATGGGCAGTGTTGAGTCTATGGAGTGTTGAGTCTATGGGCAGTGTTGAGTCTATGGGTAGTGTTGAGTCTATGGGGTGAGGTCTATGGGTAGTGTTGGAGTCTATGGGCAGTATTGAGGTCTATGGGTAGTGTTGAGTCTATGGGTAGTGTTGAGGTCTAGTGGGTAGTGTTGAGTCTATGGGCTAGTGTTGAGTCTATGGGCTAGTGCTGAGTCTATGGTGCAGTGTTGAGATTCTATGGGTATGTTGAGGTCTATGTGCAGTGTTTGAGTCTATGGGCTAGTGTTGAGTCTATGGGCAGTGGTGAGTCTATGGGCAGTGTTGAGTCTATGGGCAGTGCTTGAGTCTATGGTGCAGTGTTGAGTCTATGGGCAGTGTTGAGTCTATGGTGCAGTGTTGAGTCCTATGGGCAGTGAGTGTGAGTCGTATGGGCAGTGCTGCAGTCTATGTTGGCAGTGTTGAGTCTATGGGCAGGTGGTTGATGGATCTATGGTGCAGGGATGAGTCTATGGGCAGTAGTGGTGAGTTTATGGGCAGTATTGAGTCTATGGGCAGTGGTTGAGTCCTATGGGCAGCAGTGTTGAGTCCTATGGCAGTGGTTGAGTCTATGGGCAGTGTTGAGTCTATGGGCAGTGTTGAGTCTATGGGCAGTGTTGAGTCTATCAGTATGAGCAGGGTTGAGTCTATGGGCCGTGTTGAGTCTATGGTGCAGTGTTGAGTCTATGGTGCAGTGTTGAGTCTATGGTGCAGGTTTGAGTCTAGGGTGTTGAGTCTATGGGCAAGTGTTGAGTCCTATGGGCAGTGTTGAGTCTATGGGCAGTGTTGAGTCTATGGGCAGTGTTGAGTCTATGGGCAGTGTTGAGTCTATGGGCAGTGTTGAGTCTATGGGCAGTGTTGAGTCTATGGGCAGTGTTGACGTCTTATGGGCAGTCATCTTCTTGGTTCTTTCGGTAAAGTCACGTAGAAGGGAAGTAATAAAATAATAAAAATAAAACATAATAAAACAATTCTCACGACGTTTCGGCCACAACGCAAGCAGCCGTCCTCAGGTGAAAACCAGGTCCGTCGAGGCAACTGCAGCAGCAGCAGCAACTGCAGCAGCAGCAGAAACTGCAGCAGCAGCAACTGCAGCAGCAGTAACTGCAGCTCCCTTTGATGCTGTTAATCCTGCATAATGCACATGCATATGCAGTACTAATCACATTCCTGCATTTCCCATAAATATGCTAAATTCCTTTTGATATGCAAATTCCTTTGTCAATGCGCCCAGCTTATATATATGCTCCAAGCTCGTGTGCTGTTTCATTCAGACTCTGTCGCCTCGACGGACCTGGTTTTCACCTGAGGACGGCTGCTTGCGTTGTGGCCGAAACGTCGTGAGAATTGTTTTATTATGTTTTCTTTTTATTATTTTATTACTTCCCTTCTACGTGACTTTACCGAAAGAACCAAGAAGATGAATCCCTGCAGTCACGAAAGCTTTAAATCGAAATCTATGGGCAGTGTTGAGTCTATGAGCAATAGGGAGAATGGAGATGAAATGGAGCTTTGTTTTTTCAGGCCAGCGCGGATCTAGGGGTTGCCCAGACCCTCCCGGAGAGCGAGGTGATGAACACATACCTGCAGATGGTGAGAGGCGAGTCTCAAGTGAGTACTGGCGTTGCCTCCGTGTGTCTCTGCGTGTCTCCGTGTGTCTCTGTGTGTGTGTGTGTGTCTGTGTGTGTCTCCGTGTGCCTCCGTGTGTCTCCTTGTGTCTCTGTGTGTCTCCGTGTGTCTCCGCGTGTCTCTGTGTGTCTCTGCGTGTCTCTGTGTGTCTCCACTTGTCCCCGTGTGTCTCCGTGTCTCTGTGTCTCTCTGAGTGTCCCCGTGTGTCTCCGTGTGTCTTTGCGTGTCTTTGTGTCTCTCTGCGTGTCTCCACTTGTCCCCGTGTGTCTCTGTGTCTCTCTGCGTGTCTCCACTTGTCCCCGTGTGTCTCTGTGTCTCTGTGTCTCTCTGCATGTCTCCGCGTGTCTCCGTGTGTCTCTGTGTCTCTGTGTCTCTCTGCGTGTCTCCGCGTGTCCCCGTGTGTCTCTGTGTCTCTCTGCGTGTCTCCACTTGTCCCCGTGTGTCCTGTCCCAGACTCCACCGCCACCTGGCGGACTTGGAGATGGCTCCCTGTCCGTGGGGAGCGAGGCTGTTGTCTCCAGAGACAGGTGAGTGAGACACAGGCGGGTAAGTGGGTGAGTGAGTGGGTGGGTCGGTGGGTGGGTGGGTGAGTGGGTTGGTGGGTGGGTCGGTGGGTGGGTGGGTGAGCGGGTGGGTGGGTGAGCGGGGTGGGTGGGTGAGCGGGTGGGTGGGTGAGTGGGTGGGTGAGTGGGTGGGTGAGTGAGACACAGGCGGCGCGCGTCTCCCCGAGTCTCCTGCACCCGCGTAGACGCTCGCTAGCAGCTCACTGCGTGTGTCGCTGTGGTCACGGTGGTTAGTGGATGGGTGGGGGAGTGGGTGGGTGGGTGGGTGAGTGGGTGGGTGAGTGAGTGAGTGGGTGGGTGAGTGTGTGAGCGAGTGGGTGGGTGGGTGAGTGGGTGGGTGGGTGGGTGGGTGAGTGGGTGAGTGAGTGAGTGGGTGAGTGGGTGGGTGGGTGAGTGGGTGGGTGAGTGTGTGAGTGAGTGGGTGGGTGGGTGAGTGAGTGGGTGAGTGGGTGGGTGGGTGGGTGAGTGGGTGAGTGGGTGGGCGAGTGAGTGGGTGGGTGGGTGGGTGGGCGAGAGAGTGGGTGGGCGAGTGAGTGGGTGGGCGAGTGGGTGGGCGGGCGAGTGGGTGGGCGAGTGAGTGGGTGGGCGGGTGGGCGAGTGGGTGGGCGGGTGAGTGGGGGGGCGGGTGGGCGGGTGGGTGAGTGGGTGGGTGGGTGAGTGGGTGGGTGGGTGAGTGGGTGAGTGGGTGGGTGGGTGAGTGGGTGAGTGAGTGGGTGAGTGGGTGGGCGAGTGAGTGGGCGGGTGAGTGGGTGAGTGGGTGGGCGAGTGAGTGGGCGGGTGAGTGGGCGGGTGGGTGGGCGAGGGAATGGGTGGGCGAGTGAGTGGGTGGGCGGGTGGGCGAGTGGGTGGGCGGGCGAGTAGGTGGGCGGGCGAGTGGGTGGGCGGGCGAGTGGGTGGGTGGGCGAGTGGGTGGGCGAGTGGGTGGGTGGGTGAGTGGGTCAGTGGGTGAGTGGGTCGGTGAGTGGCTGGGTTAGTGGGTCGGTGGGTGGGTGGATTAGTGGTTAGGTGAGTGGGTGGGTGGGTGAGTGAGTGAGTGGGTGGGTGGGTGGGTGAGTGGGTGGTTAGGTGAGTGGGTGGGTGAGTGGGTGGTTAGGTGAGTGGGTGGGTGAGTGGGTGGTTAGGTGAGTGGGTCGGTGAGTGGGTGGTTAGGTGAGTGGGTCGGTGAGTGGGTGGGTGAGTGGGTGGGTGGGTGAGTGAGTGGGTGGGTGGGCGGGCGGGTCGGTCGATGGGTGGGTGAGTCTTAGGTATGTGGAGCGGTGGCGCAGTGGTTAGCGCGCTGGCTGTGAACCCGGCGACCCAAGTTCGATTTCTGTTCACGGCCACCACCAACGCCAGGGACGATTATCTGAGCCGATCGTGGGCCTCCCCTAGGTCGACTCGGACTCAAACGAGTACCTGTGTGGCGTGTCGTAAACATCGCCACTGGGGTAGTGCTGGTCACCCACCCCCTCGTGTGCTGTTCCAGCCTTCGTAGTTGCTGCTACTCGCTCACAGCTCTTGCTGCAACAGTCTGTTCATGCTGTACGGGGGGGGGGGGGTCTTTGTTGTGTTGCAGTGTCGACACGGCGTCACACGGAGATGATGACTTCTGGTGACACCAACAAGAAGACGCGAACACACACGACACACAAACTCACTAACAACAACAACAACACTAAGTAGCGGTGACGTCACCAGGGTGCTGTGTGCCAGGCCAGGTGCATTCTGACGCCACGTGAAGTGTCAAAGGCTCGCAGGAGGTTATGGGACAGACCCTGCAGGTGCCATGGGTTGACTAACTGCGCTACCCACTGTGTCAACTTTCTGGAGTTTATCCACCCGGCGCTCCGCTCGTTGTTGTGAGCATTGCTGCCTCTCCGCTCTCCGTTGTTGTTGGAGGGCGACTGCCTCCAACTCCCCGGGCAAGCGGCCTTCACGAGCCTCCTGCATAGAGGCAAGTCCACTCAGCTCCACGTCGTCCTGTACCGCATCACTCCATCTCTTCTCAAGCCGATACGGCGCCCCGTTTAGCCCCCTCTGTGCGGCCAAACAGAGGCTGCTTGGGTATGCGGTGGTTGGGCACGTGGGTTATGTGACCCAGCCAACGGAGCCTTGCCTACTGGAGCAGCTCACCGATAGGACTATTTCTAGGTCTTCTTGGTTCTTTCGGTAAAGTCACGTAGAATGGAAATAATAAAATAATAAAAATAAAACATTAAATAATTCTCACGACGTTTCGGCCACAACGCAAGCAGCCGTCCTCAGGTGGAGAACAGGTCTGTCGAGAAGACAGCGTCATTCAAACGCTGTCTCCCCGACAGACCTGTTCTCCACCTGAGGACGGCTGCTTGCGTTGTGGCCGAAACGTCGTGAGAATTGTATTTTATTATGTTTTCTTTTTATTATTTTATTACTTCCCTTCTACGTGATGACTTTACCGAAAGAACCAAGAAGATCGATTTGAAATCGTTTAAAATCGCCGCTGATTAAATCTCTGCAGCCAAAAATATTTTTTTTCTCGCGTTTAAAATTCTTGTGAAACTTTCCACGGCATCTAAAAAACAAACCGCGTGTGACATTTGAAAAAAAACGCGCAATATCACGACACAAAATAGCGTACAATGTTTATTTTTTAAATGGCTGGAATGTTTTCTCATCGAGTGTGACACACATCACGTTCGCCACGCCTCGTGGTCTTCACGACGACGACGACGACAACAATCATCGCTCCGAGTCACCGTCACACGGCAAGAGTCCTCGCTCAGCGCAACAAACATCACAGGACGCTCCAACGCCGTTCTAACGCCGTTCTAACGCCGTTCTAGCAATGCCCTAACGCCGTTCTAACAATGCCCTAACGCCGTTCCACCGCCGCTTGAACAACACTCTAACAACACTCTAACGACACTCTAATGCCGTTCTAACGACACTCTAACGCCGTTCTAGCAATGCCCTAACGCCGTTCCAACGCCGCTTGAACAACACTCTAACAACACTCTAACGACACTCTAACGCCGTTCTAACGACACTCTAACGCCGTTCTAGCAATACCCTAACGCCGTTCCAACGCCGCTTGAACAACACTCTAACAACACTCTAACAACACTCTAACGCCGTTCTAATGACACTCTTACGCCGTTTTAACGCCGCTTGAACAACGCCGTTCCAACGCCGCTCTAACAACACTCTAACGCCGTTCTAACGACACTAACGCCGTTCTAACAATGCTCTAACGCCGTTCTAACGCCGCTTGAACAACACTCTAACAACACTTTAACAACACTTTAGCAACTCTCTAACAACACTCTAACGCCATTCTAACGCCATTCTAACGACACTAACGCTGTTCTAACGCGGAACGGGGGCGTTGTTATAACGCGAAGTGTGTCCACCGTGATAACGCGGTTCCTGAGCGCACTACTTTAGGAACTACTTTCCGTGAGCTGCGCGGGTTCGGAGCAGTGCTACGGCACGCGGTGCGATACGGAGCGATACGGAGCGATACGGAGCGATACGGAGCGATACGGAGTGATACGCGGACGAGGCATTATCACGGTGGGCTACGTACGGTACAGAAGAAGTTCAATGTAGTACTCTGAGAGTAACATAATGTAGCAGCTACATAATGTACACCATGTACGCTTGTTAGCCGTGAATAACCCAACCAATACACCATTGGAACCTCATTTGCCAGTAAAAAATATGAATTGTTTTTTACTCTTCTATCATCTGGTCCAAGCCACGTGAGACTAGGCTCTAAGGAAAGCTGTCTCGGGTGTGGACCAATCAACTTCAAGGACAGTGCACGTTATCAGAGTTGTGTGTTTTTGTTTGCATTATGACTGCAGGTGTTGTGGTCAATGCAAACATGACTCCTCGTAAATAAGGTGTCAGTTTTGTTGCCAGATGAAAGGGTAAAAAAACAATTATTATTTGCTACTGGCAAAGGAGGTTCCAATGGTGTAAATGCTTCACCCCGAGCTCTCATACTCTGATGGTGCATTGTCTTTGAGTTGTGCGCCTTTTGGCGTCATCTGGTCCAACACCATGTGAGACTAGGCTCTAAGAAAAGCTGTCTCGGGTGTGGACCAATCAACTTCAAGGACAGTGCATACATTATCAGAGTTTTGTTTTTTGTTTGTATTATGACTGCAGGTATTGTGGTCTATGTAAACATGACTCCTTGTAAAAAGGTGTCAGTTTGGTTGCCAGATAGAAGGGTAAAACACCAATTATCAACCCAACCGATAGTAGAGATCCATTGTCATTTATATTTCTTCCCACGTGATCGTGTCACACGTGACGACATCACATGATCGTCTCACTCGTGATGACGTCACGTGTATCACGTCACCGGTGACGTCATTGCAAGTGACGACATCACGTGTATCCCGTCACTAGTGACGACATCACGTGTATCACGTCACTAGTGACGTCATCACGTGTATCCCGTCACTAGTGATGACGTCACGTCTATCACGTCACTAGTGATGACGTCACGTCTATCACGTCACACGTGACGTCATCACGTGTATCCCGTCACACGTGACGACATCACGTGAATCCCGTCGTCTGATGATGACACTGGCGGTTGTTGTGATGACCGGTTGTTGTAATTACCGGCTGTTGTTGTGATTATCAGTTGTTGTTGTTGTGATGACCGTCGAAACGTCACGGCTACTCGAATGTGTGAATGTGGTCGTGGTGGTGGTGGGTTGACTCTCCAACACACACCGACCGGCGAGTGCTGAACTAGCAACTCATTGGCACCTTGTTTGTTGTTTGCGTGATAAACCCTTTGACTCTTCTTGGTTCTTTCGGTAAAGTCGTCACGTAGAAGGGAAATAATAAAAATAAAACATAATAAAATACAATTCTCACGACGTTTCAGCCACAACGCAAGCAGCCGTCCTCAGGTGGAGAACAGGTCTGTCGGAAAGACAGTGTCTGAATGAGCACCACCAAGCTTGGTAGCGTATATACTTAAATATAAACTTAAATATACGCTGCCAAGCCCGGTGGTGTTCAGAAGAACAGGTCTGTCGGAAAGACAGCGTCTGAATGAGCACCACCAAGCTTGGCAGCGTATATACTTAAATATATACTTAAATATATACTTAAATATACGCTGCCAAGCTTGGTGGTGTTCAGAAGAACAGGTCTGTCGGAAAGACAGCGTCTGAATGAGCACCACCAAGCTTTGCAGCGTATATACTTAAATTTATACTTAAATATACGCTGCCAAGCTTGGTGGTGTTCAGAAGAACAGGTCTGTCAGAAAGACAGAGTCTGAATGAACACCACCAAGCTTGGTAGCGTATATTTAAGCTGGGTTGGAGGGGGAAGAGCGCCTTGACAAAGGAATTTGCATATCAAGAGGACAGCCCTGTTCTTCACCTGAGGACGGCTGCTTGCGTTGTGGCCGAAACGTCGTGAGAATTGTATTATGTTTTATTTTTATTGTTTTATTACTTCCCTTCTACGTGATTACTTTACCGAAAGAACCAAGAAGATGAATCCCTGCAGTCACGAAAGAAGCTTTACATCGAAACCCTCGGCTAATCGACTAATTGTCTGTGTCGACGCAACATCTAGATCTAGCCCAACAAAGTTAAACTATCTGGTACCACTGGTGGTATCGGCGCGCTGAGCGAGGACTCGCTGTCATGCTCGTCGAAGCGTCATCACAAGGGAAGGACTCGGGGTACTATGAAAAAATACAAGACGGCGTTAATAGCACTCTGACGCATTCCGTAAACTATCACGACTCTGTTTAAAAACCACGGCTACTCAACCTCGACAGCGACAACAACGAATATCGATGCAGCGTCCGTGGGTGCAGTCAAAACAGCTGATGGTGTAAAAGGGGATGGTGTGATGGGGATGGTGTGATGGTGATGGTGTGATGGTGATGGTGTGATGGGGATGGTGTGATGGTGTGATGGCGATGGTGTGATGGTGTGATGGTGTGATGGTGATGGTGTGATGGTGATGGTGTGATGGCGATGGTGTGATGGTGTGATGGCGATGGTGTGATGGCGATGGTGTGATGGCGATGGGGATGGTGTGATGGGGATGGTGTGATGGCGATGGTGTGATGGCGATGGTGTGATGGCGATGGTGTGATGGCGATGGTGTGATGGCGATGGCGATGGTGTGATGGGGATGGTGTGATGGCGATGGTGTGATGGCGATGGTGTGATGGCGATGGTGTGATGGCGATGGTGTGATGGCGATGGTGTGATGGCGATGGCGATGGTGTGATGGTGTGATGGGGATGGTGTGATGGTGATGGTGTGATGGTGATGGTGTGATGGTGTGATGGCGATGGTGTGATCGCGATGGCATGATGGTGTGATGGGGATGGTGATACAGCTGGAGTGAACAGGAAAGGTCACTGAGGGTCAGAAGGATCAGGGGTTAAAGGTCACCACTTATTGAGCAACAGCACAGGGGTCACAGCTCACGGGGGTAGCCAGGGTCACGGAGGTAAGAGGTCACGGACACTGATGGGAGGTTAGAGGTTGGGGGTCAAGGTTCAGGGGGGTCAGGGCTGGGTTGAAGGGGTCATGGGTCACGCTGTCAAGCTACCAGGAGGTGCACCCTTCGCAGGGTCACAGGTCACAGGGTCACAGGTCACAGGGGGCGGGGCTCAAGCACTCAGGGATTTCAGGGGTTCGTGGGTCGGAGGTCGTGGCGAGTGGCTCAGGGGGGTCTTGCGGGGGTCGAGGCGACCCCTTGTGGGGGTGCGAGGGGGTCTCAGGGGGTCTTGGGAAGTGACCCCCTTGTGGGGGTTCCAGGGGGTTCCAGGGGGTTCCAGGGGTCTTGGGAGGCGACCCCCTTGAGGGGGTCCCAGGGGGTCTCAGGGGTCTTGGGATGTGGCTGCGAGCCCCTTGCCGTTGTGCAGGTCTCCCATCTCCGCGTCTCCCGCCCCCAGCGGCGCCTGCTGGGCACCACCGCCACCACCGCAGGAGGCAGCCGCTGGCCCCGGGGAGGAGGCGGACGCGGCGAAGGTCTTCACGTAGCCCCAGTTGGCCGTGAGCACCATGAGGTAGTGGATCTGTTCACGGGGGATGGGCGGGCGGGTGGCAGGGCAGAGGTCGCAAACGGGTTTTGATTCCTTACCCGTACACGCACCCGGCCGGGTACGGGTTCCCGTTCCCTACCCGTACCCTACCCGAAATGAGTGACAAACGGTGACTCACCAGTGACTCACGGCCTACCCGTACCCTACCCGAAATGAGTGACAAACGGTGACTCACCAGTGACTCACGGCCTACCCGTACCTGTACCCTACCCGAAATGAGTGACAAACGGTGACTCACCAGTGACTCACAAGCTACCCGTACATGTACCCTACCCGAAATGAGTGACAAACGGTGACTCACCAGTGACTCACGGCCTACCCGTACCCGTACCCTACCCGAAATGAGTGACAAACGGTGACTCACCAGTGACTCACGGCCTACCCGTACCTGTACCCTACCCGAAATGAGTGACAAACGGTGACTCACCAGTGACTCACAAGCTACCCGTACATGTACCCTACCCGAAATGAGTGACAAACGGTGACTCACCAGTGACTCACGGCCTACCCGTACCCGTACCCTACCCGAAATGAGTGACAAACGGTGACTCACCAGTGACTCACGGCCTACCCGTACCTGTACCCTACCCGAAATGAGTGACAAACGGTGACTCACCAGTGACTCACGGCCTATCCGTACCCGTACCCTACCCGAAATGAGTGACAAACGGTGACTCACCAGTGACTCACGGCCTACCCGTACCCTACCCGAAATGAGTGACAAACGGTGACTCACCAGTGACTCACGGCCTACCCGTAACCGTACCCTACCCGAAATGAGTGACAAACGGTGACTCACCAGTGACTCACGGCCTACCCGTACCCTACCCGAAATGAGTGACAAACAGTGACTCACCAGTGACTCACGGCCTACCCGTACCCGTACCCTACCCGAAATGAGTGACAAACGGTGACTCACCAGTGACTCACGGCCTACCCGTACCCGTACCCGGCCGCACCAGGGTCGCAAACGGCTACCCGTAGCCGTACCCGGCTGGGATTTTTTTGCACATTTTTGTAGGCAGCATAAACAAACGGCGCTTTCTCTGGAAGATTTTATTGTTTTTGTAGGAGATGTTTCAATTTGTGTAGAGTACATTGTAAATGTATCTTTGTGATTGTGTTGTGTGTTGCGGTTGCACCAGAATCAAGCGCCGAATGCCTCACAGGGTTATTCCAAATAAGTGTCAGTGTTAGGGTTAGGTTTGCGTTCGGTTAGAATTAGGTTATGGTTCGTGTTAGTTTAGTGTTAGATTAGTGTTAGGTTAGTGTTAGATTGGTGTTAGGTTTGGTTAGGGTTAGTGTTAGGTTAGTGTTAGATTAGTGTTAGTTTAGGTTAGTGTTAGGTTAGAATTAGGTTAGCGTTAGGTTAGAATTAGGTTAGTGTTAGATTGGTGTTAGGTTGGGGTTAAGTTAATGTTAGATTAGTGTTAGGTTTGGTTAGGGTTAGTGTTAGATTAGTGTTAGGTTAGTGTTAGGTTAGAATTAGGTTCGTGTTAGATTGGTATTAGGTTTGGTTAGGGTTAGTGTTAGATTAGTGTTAGGTTAGAATTAGGTTCGTGTTAGATTAGTGTTAGCTTGCTGTTAGGTTTGGCTAGGGTTAGTGTAAGATTGCCGTTAAACTAAACTAAATCAAATTTATTTGTATTCCATCAAGTAAGTCTCACTGGGCGATGTAGCTCCGTTCAGGAGCGCGCCCTGCCCATCACAAATAGACAGCCCGGCCACGTGACTCACCGCCACGTGGACATCTACAGCTGCAGCCAAATCCTCTAACTGCACGTCTCTCAATGTGGAGGTAAACCCACTGGACACCACGTGACCAGCGGGTCTGGGCACTCACCATGGCGATGACGGTGGCGGCAGCCCCAGCGTAGGCCACGATGAAGAGGTGGTGGGCGAGGATGAACTGCGACAAGAGACGCACAGAGCAGAGGTCACAAACGGGGTTTGATTCGTCTTCTTGGTTCTTTCGGTAAAGCCACGTGGAATGGAAGTAATAATAAAATAATAAAAATAAAACATAATAAAATACAATTCTGACGACGTTTCGGCCACAACGCAAGCAGCCGTCCTCAGGTGGAGAGCAGGTCTGTCGGGAAGACAGCGTCTGAATGACACACTCCAGGCTTGGAGCGACTATTTAAGCTGGGATGGAGGGGGAAGGGCGCCTTGACAAAATAATGTGCATATCAAGAGGAATTTAGCATATTTATGGGAAATGCAGATATGCTAAATTCCTCTTGATATGCACATTATTTTGTCAAGGCGCCCTTCCCCCTCCATCCCAGCTTAAATATACGCTCCAAGCCTGGAGTGTGTCATTCAGACGCTGTCTTCTCGACAGACCTGCTCTCCACCTGAGGACGGCTGCTTGCGTTGTGGCCGAAACGTCGTGGAATTGTATTTAATTATGTTTTATTTTCATTATTTTATTATTTCCCTTCTACGTGACTTTACCGAAAGAACCAAGAAGATGAATCCCTGCAGTCACGAAAGCTTTACATCGGGTTTTGATTCCTTACCCCCCGTACCCGGCCGCACCAGGGTCGCAAACGGCTACCCGATACCCGTACCCTACCCGATACCCGGCTACCCGTACCCAGCCGGGTACGGGTACCCGTTTGCGACCCTGGTGTGGCCGGGTACGGGTAGGCCGTGAGTCACTGGTGAGTAACTGTTTGCCACTCATTTCCCAACGTCTTGTCTCTTCTCACAATTCAAGTTCCTAGAATCAACCCACCCGCGCCTGCAACATGGCTTCATCCCAGAGGTCGCAATCAGGTACCCGATACCCGTACCCTACCCGGGTACGGGTACGGGTACGGCCGGGTACGGGTACCCATTTGCGACCCTGGTGCGGCCGGGTACGGGGGGTAAGGAATCAAAACCCGTTTGCGACCTCTGATGTCCAGCACCACGCCCTGACACTCTGTCTCCTCAGCGGCAATGTTTACCACATCCATAGCAGGTATTCGTTTGAGGCTGAGTCGACCTAGGGCAGGTCCAGTACGGGTTCCGATCATCGCTATCACTGGTGTTGGAATCGAATTGTGCCAGCGTGTGTCTGTGTGCTAGTGAGTGTCTGTGTGCTAGCATGTGTCTGTGTGCTAGTGAGTGTCTGTGTGCTAGTGAGTGTCTGTGTACTAGTGAGTGTCTGTGTGCTAGTGAGTGTCTGTGTGCTAGTGAGTGTCTGTGTACTAGTGAGTGTCTGTGTGCTAGCGAGTGTCTGTGTGCTAGTGAGTGTCTGTGTGCTAGTGAGTGTCTGTGTGCTAGTGAGTGTCTGTGTGCTAGCGAGTGTCTGTGTACTAGTGAGTGTCTGTGTGCTAGCGAGTGTCTGTGTACTAGTGAGTGTCTGTGTGCTAGTGAGTGTCTGTGTGCTAGCGAGTGTCTGTGTACTAGTGAGTGTCTGTGTGCTAGCGAGTGTCTGTGTGCTAGTGAGTGTCTGTGTGCTAGTGAGTGTCTGTGTGCTAGTGAGTGTCTGTGTGCTAGTGAGTGTCTGTGTACTAGTGAGTGTCTGTGTGCTAGCGAGTGTCTGTGTGCTAGTGAGTGTCTGTGTGCTAGTGAGTGTCTGTGTGCTAGTGAGTGTCTGTGTGCTAGTGAGTGTCTGTGTGCTAGCGAGTGTCTGTGTGCTAGCGAGTGTCTGTGTGCTGTCACCTCCTGCGTGTTGCACATGTTTTCCAGGGCTCGGTCGCACAGAACGGCCGTCGAGTGGTTCCATGGTAGGATTCCTACAAAACGACACCACATCACCATCAACACAACATCACCATCAACACAACATCACCATCAACACAACATCACCATCAACACAACATCACCATCAACACAACATCACCATCAACACAACATCACCATCAACACAACATCACCATCAACACAACATCACCATCAACACAACATCACCATCAACACAACATCACCGTCAACACAACATCAACATCACCATCAACACAACATCACCATCAACACAACATTACCATCAACACAACATCACCATCAACACAACATCACCGATGGTGGTGTTGGTAGCGGTGGTGGTGGAGATGGTGGGGGTGGTGGACGTGGTGGTGGAGGTGGTGGTGGTGTTGGCGGTGGTAGCGGTGGTGGAGGTGGTGGTGGAGGTAGTGGTGGTGGTGGAGGTAGCGGTGCAGGTGGTGGTGGAGGTGGTAGCGGTGGAGGCGGTGGAGCTAGCGGCGTACCGTACTGGCGCAGGTCAACGCACACCGTGGGTGAGCTTGACCCTGCTGCTGCTGCTGCGGTGGTGGAGGTGGTGGAGGTGGTGGAGGTGGTGAGCGCCGCATGGCACGACGCGCGGATGTTGAGGGTGAGGAAGACGGGCAGCGCAGCGAGCCCCAGCACTCCCAGCCAGAGCAGCGTGAGCAGGTAGGTGAGTCCTATAAACTACAACATCAACAACAACATCAACACCATCAACACCATCAACACCATCACGTAGGTGAGCCCCAGCACCCCCAGCCAGAGCAGCGTGAGCAGGTAGGTGAGTCCTATAAACTACAACATCAACAACAACATCAACACCATCAACACCATCATCACCATCAACACCATCATCACCATCATCACCATCAATACCATCACGTAGGCGAGCCCCAGCACCCCCAGCCAGAGCAGCGTGAGCAGGTAGGTGAGTCCTATAAACTACAACACCATCAACACCATCACCATCATCAACAATGCCATCACCATCATCAACAACACCATCAACACCAACACCATCAACACCGTCACCATCAACACCGTCACCATCAACACCATCATCATCAACAACACCATTAACACCATCAACACCATCACCATCAACACCATCACGTAAGTGAGCCCGATAAACTACAACATCACCACCACCAACACCATCACCAACACCATCACCACCAACACCGTCACCACCAACACCGTCACCAACACCGTCACCACCAACACCGTCACCATCAACACCGTCACCATCAACACCATCATCATCAACAACACCATCAACACCATCACCATCAACACCATCACGTAGGTGAGCCCGATAAACTACAACATCACCAACACCATCACCAACACCGTCACCAACACCATCACCACCAACACCGTCACCACCAACACCGTCACCAACACCGTCACCAACACCGTCACCAACACCGTCACCACCAACACCGTCACCACCAACACCGTCACCACCATCACCGTCACCACCAACACCGTCACCACCAACATCGTCACCACCAACACCGTCACCACCATCACCGTCACCACCAACACCGTCACCACCAACACCGTCACCACCAACACCGTCACCACCAACACCGTCACCACCACCAACACCGTCACCACCAACACCGTCACCACCAACACCGTCACCAACACCATCACCACCAACACCGTCACCACCAACACCATCACCACCAACACCGTCACCACCAACACCGTCACCACCAACACCGTCACCACCAACACCGTCACCTCCAACACCATCACCACCAACACCGTCACCACCAACACCGTCACCACCAACACCGTCACCACCAACACCGTCACCACCATCACCGTCACCACCAACACCGTCACCACCAACACCGTCACCAACACCGTCACCAACACCACCACCACCAACACCGTCACCACCAACACCATCACCACCAACACCGTCACCACCAACACCGTCACCATCAACACCATCATCATCAACAACACCATCAACACCATCAACACCATCACCATCAACACCATCACGTAGGTGAGCCCGATAAACTACAACATCACCACCACCAACACCGTCACCAACACCATCACCACCAACACCGTCACCACCAACACCATCACCACCAACACCGTCACCACCAACACCGTCACCACCAACACCGTCACCACCAACACCGTCACCTCCAACACCATCACCACCAACACCGTCACCACCAACACCGTCACCACCAACACCGTCACCACCAACACCATCACCACCATCACCGTCACCACCAACACCGTCACCACCAACACCGTCACCACCAACACCGTCACCACCAACACCGTCACCACCAACACCATCACCAAGACCATCACCACCAACACCGTCACCACCAACACCGTCACCACCAACACCGTCACCACCAACACCGTCACCACCAACACCGTCACCACCAACACCGTCACCACCAACACCGTCACCACCAACACCGTCACCAACACCGTCACCACCAACACCGTCACCAACACCGTCACCACCAACACCGTCACCACCAACACCGTCACCACCAACACCGTCACCACCAACACCGTCACCACCAACACCGTCACCACCAACACCGTCAACAACACCGTCACCAACACCATCACCACCAACACCGTCACCACCAACACCATCACCACCAACACCGTCACCACCAACACCGTCACCATCAACACCATCATCATCAACAACACCATCAACACCATCAACACCATCACGTAGGTGAGCCCGATAAACTACAACATCACCACCACCAACACCGTCACCAACACCATCACCACCAACACCGTCACCACCAACACCGTCACCACCAACACCGTCACCACCAACACCATCACCACCATCACCGTCACCACCAACACCGTCACCACCACCACCGTCACCACCACCACCGTCACCACCAACACCGTCACCACCAACACCATCACCAAGACCATCACCACCAACACCGTCACCACCAACACCGTCACCACCAACACCGTCACCACCAACACCGTCACCACCAACACCGTCACCACCAACACCGTCACCACCAACACCGTCACCACCAACACCGTCACCAACACCGTCACCACCAACACCGTCACCAACACCGTCACCACCAACACCGTCACCACCAACACCGTCACCACCAACACCGTCACCACCAACACCGTCACCACCAACACCGTCACCACCAACACCGTCCCACCAACACCGTCACCACCAACACCGTCACCACCAACACCGTCACCACCACCACCGTCACCACCAACACCGTCACCACCAACACCGTCACCAACACCAACTCGAGCATTTGGACTGCAAGAGGAGGAATCTGAAGAGCTACGAAGCTCTTTGTCACAGAAGTCCAGCGGCGGATGGACGGCACGGAGACCCCCGGGAGCTTCCGCTCTGATGATCCCGTGGTGCGCGCCGGAGTGACAATCTCGTCACGGGGAGAACTCGAAGTCAGTTGCGTGAAGGCGACATTTAGTAAACGGCACGCTGGCCAATCGATGTGCACCTGAATGGTAAATAGAACGTGAAAGAAAGTGATTGATCGCATCTGATCGCATCTGATCGCAACTGATCGTGGTTGATCGTGGTTGCTCGTGGTTGCGTGTAGTTGCTCGTGGTTGCTCGTGGTTGCGTGTAGTTGCTCGTAGTTGCTCGTGGTTGCGTGTAGTTGCTCGTAGTTGCTCGTGGTTGCGTGTAGTTGTTCGTGGTTGATCGTGGTTGCTCGTGGTTGCGTGTAGTTGCTCGTAGTTGCTCGTGGTTGCTCGTGGTTGCTCGTGGTTGCTCGTGGTTGCGTGTAGTTGCTCGTGGTTGCTCGTGGTTGCTCGCTCGTCACCATGGCGCTGATGCAGCGCCCGCAGGCGGTCGTCTTGAAGTCCCCGTGTCGTCCCTGCACGGCGCCCGTCGTGAAGAAGCCCTCGGTGAACAGCAGGATGCCCAACAGCAGGAACGCCGCCACCGTGCCGTACATGCAGAAGCGCACCACGTCCACCCTGCACACACACACAGACACACACACACAGACACACAGACACACACACACAGACACACACACAGACACACACACACACAGACACACACACACAGACACACACAGACACACACAGAGAGACAGAGAGACAGAGAGAGACACGGTGAACAGCAGGATGCCCAGCAGCAGGAACGCCGCCACCGTGCCGTACATGCAGAAGCGCACCACGTCCACCCTGCACACACACACAGACACACACACAGACACACACACACAGACACACACACAGACACAGACAGAGAGACAGAGACATGCAGTAGCGCACCACGTCCACCCTGCACACACACACAGACACACACACAGACACACACACAGAGAGACACACACAGAGAGACAGAGAGACACACACACACACAGACACACACAGAGAGACACACACAGAGACACACACACAGTGACACACACACAGTGACACACACACAGACACACACACAGACACACACACACAGACACACACACACAGACACAGACAGAGAGACAGAGACATGCAGTAGCGCACCACGTCCACCCTGCAGATAGACACAGAGACAGAGACATGGAGACAGAGAGACAGAGACATGGAGAAGCGTACCACGTCCACCCTGCACACACAGACAGACGGAGATACATGGAGACAGAGACAGACATGGAGACAGAGACAGACATGGAGACAGTACACCACGTCCACCCTGCAGACAGACAAAAAGAGACAAAGACAGAGAGACAGACAGAGACAGGGATAGAGACAGAGACAGTGAGAGACATGGACAGAGAGAGAGACAGAGACAGGGGGAGAGACAGAGAGAGAGACAGAGACAGGGAGAGACAGAGACAGTGGGAGAGACACGGGACAGTGAGAGACATGGACACAGAGAGAGACAGAGACAGGGGGAGAGACAGAGACAGTGAGAGAGAGAGAGAGACATGGACAGAGAGAGAGACAGGGGGAGAGACAGAGAGACAGAGACAGTGGGAGAGACACGGGACAGTGAGAGACATGGACACAGAGAGACAGAGACAGGGGGAGAGACAGAGAGACAGAGACAGTGAGAGAGAGAGAGAGACATGGACAGAGAGAGAGAGACAGGGGGAGAGACAGAGAGACAGAGACAGTGGGAGAGACACGGGACAGTGAGAGACATGGACAGAGAGAGAGACAGAGACAGGGGGAGAGACAGAGACAGTGAGAGAGAGAGAGAGACATGGACAGAGACAGAGAGAGACAGGGGGAGAGACAGAGAGACAGAGACCCAGGACAAGTCACCACTGGGCTGTGTGCTAAGGGACTTGGCTGCCACCAACAGCAGCCACCAGCCTCCCTGCCACAGACACCCTGAGGTGGTGACGACGATGAGGTGGAGGGGGTGACGAGGTGGAGGAGGAGGAGGGGGTGACGAGGTGGAGGGGGTGGAGGTGTAGGGAGTGATAAGGTGGAGGGGGGGACGAGGTGGAGGGGGAGGGGGTGACAAGGTGGAGGGGGAGGGGGTGACGAGGTGTGTACGAGGGGTGACTGACACTTGGAAGAGCAGCAGGCTGTCGTGGTGCGTAGTGAGTGTGTAGTGTGTGTGTAGTGTGTGTGTGTAGTGTGTGTGTAGTGTGTGTGTAGTGTGTGTGTAGTGTGTGTGTAGTGTGTGTGTATAGTGTGTGTAGTGTGTGTGTAGTGTGTGTGTAGGGTGTGTAGTGTGTGTGTAGTGTGTGTGTGTAGTGTGTCTAGTGTGTGTGTGTAGTGTGTGTAGTGTGTGTGTAGTGTGTGTAGTAGTGTGTGTAGTGTGTGAGTGTGTGTAGTGTGTGTGTGTAGTGTGTGTGTAGTGTGTGTGTGTAGTGTGTGTGTAGTGTGTGTGTATAGTGTGTGTAGTGTGTGTGTAGTGTGTGTGTAGTGTGTGTGTAGTGTGTGTGTATAGTGTGTGTAGTGTGTGTGTAGTGTGTGTGTAGTGTGTGTGTGTAGTGTGTGTGTGTAGTGTGTGTGTAGTGTGTGTAGTGTGTGTGTAGTGTGGTGTGTAGTGTGTGTGTAGGGTGTGTAGTGTGTGTGTAGTGTGTGTGTGTAGTGTGTGTAGTGTGTGTGTGTAGTGTGTGTAGTGTGTGTGTAGTGTGTGTAGTGTGTGTGTAGTGTGTGTAGTGTGTGTAGTGTGTGTGTGTAGTGTGTGTAGTGTGTGGTAGTGTGTGTGTGTAGTGTGTGTGTAGTGTGTGTGTATAGTGTGTGTAGTGTGTGTGTAGTGTGTGTGTGTAGTGTGTGTGTAGGGTGTGTGTGTAGTGTGTGTGCAGTGTGTGTGTAGTGTGTGTGTGTTAGTGTGTCTAGTGTGTTGTGTGTAGTGTGTGTAGTGTGTGTGTAGTGTGTGTAGTGTGTGTAGTGTGTGTGTGTAGGGTGTGTGTGTAGTGTGTGTAGTGTGTGTGTGTAGGTGTGTGTGTAGTGTGTGTGTAGGTGTGTGTGTAGGTGTGTGTGTAGTGTGTGTGTGTAGATGTGTGTGTAGTGTGTGTGTAGTGTGTGTGTATAGTGTGTGTAGTGTGTGTGTGTAGTGTGTGTGTAGTGTGTGTAGTGTGTGTGTAGTGTGTGTGTGTAGTGTGTCTAGTGTGTGTGTGTAGTGTGTGTAGTGTGTGTGTAGTGTGGTAGTGTGTGTGTGTAGGGTGTGTGTGTAGTGTGTGTGTGTGTGTAGGTGTGTGTGTAGTGTGTGTGTAGGTGTGTGTGTGTAGATGTGTGTAGTGAGTGTGTGTAGTGTGTGTGTAGTGTGTGTGTGTAGTGTGTGTGTAGTGTGTGTGTGTAGTGTGTGTGTAGGTGTAGGGTGTAGTGTGTGTGTGTAGGTGTGTGTGTAGGTGTGTAGGGGTGTAGGTGTGTGTGTGTGTGTGTAGACTGACACTTGGAAGAGCAGCAGGCTGTCGTGGTGCGGGTACTGGAAGTGGTCGTCCAGCAGCGCCAGCGCGTTGCCCAGCGCCTCGTGGCCGCAGCCACAGAACAGCGCCACGCCGGCAAAGCAGAGCAGCGTGGCCACCAGAGAGGCGTACGGGACCCCCCCCAGACAGCGCACACAGCACTCGGCACACCCTGGGGGGTTAGGGGGGGGCAGGGGGGGCAGGGGGGGGGGGGCAGGAGACACCCAGTGGTGAAGCAGAAACACCAACATCACTACCACCACTACCACCATCACCATCACTACCCATATCACTACCCCTATCACTACCCTACCACTATCACTACCCGCATCACTACCCTACCACTATCACTACCCGCATCACTACCCTACCACTATCACTACCCGCATCACTACCCTACCACTATCACTACCCGCATCACTACCCTACCACTATCACTACCCGCATCACTACCCTACCACTGTCACTACCCGCATCACTACCCTACCACTGTCACTACCCGCATCACTACCCTACCACTATCACTACCCGCATCACTACCCTACCACTATCACTACCCGCATCACTACCCTACCACTATCACTACCGCATCACTACCTACCACTGTCACTACCCGCATCACTACCCTACCACTGTCACTACCCGCATCACTACCCTACCACTGTCACTACCCGCATCACTACCCTACCACTGTCACTACCCGCATCACTACCCTACCACTATCACTACCCGCATCACTACCCTACCACTGTCACTACCTGCATCACTACCCTACCACTATCACTACCCGCATCACTACCCTACCACTGTCACTATCCGCATCACTACCCTACCACTATCACTACCCGCATCACTACCCTACCACTGTCACTACCCGCATCACTACCCTACCACTATCACTACCCGCATCACTACCCTACCACTGTCACTATCCGCATCACTCGGCACACCCTGGGGGGCACGGAGACACAGAGACTGTGTGTGTAGCTGGTGACTTTGTGTGTTGCTGGTGACTGTGTGTGTTGCTGGTGACTTTGTGTGTTGCTGGTGACTCTGTGTGTAGCTGGTGACTTTGTGTGTTGCTGGTGACTGTGTGTGTAGCTGGTGACTTTGTGTGTTGCTGGTGACTCTGTGTGTAGCTGGTGACTTTGTGTGTTGCTGGTGACTGTGTGTGTAGCTGGTGACTTTGTGTGTAGCTGGTGACTTTGTGTGTTGCTGGTGACTGTGTGTGTAGCTGGTGACTGTGTGTGTTGCTGGTGACTTTGTGTGTTGCTGGTGACTTTGTGTGTTGCTGGTGACTGTGTGTGTTGCTGGTGACTTTGTGTGTTGCTGGTGACTTTGTGTGTAGCTGGTGACTGTGTGTGTTGCTGGTGACTTTGTGTGTAGCTGGTGACTGTGTGTGTAGCTGGTGACTTTGTGTGTTGCTGGTGACTGTGTGTGTTGCTGGTGACTTTGTGTGTTGCTGGTGACTTTGTGTGTTGCTGGTGACTGTGTGTGTTGCTGGTGACTTTGTGTGTGTTGCTGGTGACTTTGTGTGTAGCTGGTGACTTTGTGTGTAGCTGGTGACTGTGTGTGTTGCTGGTGACTTTGTGTGTTGCTGGTGACTTTGTGTGTTGCTGGTGACTGTGTGTGTTGCTGGTGACTTTGTGTGTGTTGCTGGTGACTTTGTGTGTAGCTGGTGACTTTGTGTGTAGCTGGTGACTGTGTGTGTTGCTGGTGACTTTGTGTGTAGCTGGTGACTTTGTGTGTTGCTGGTGACTCTGTGTGTAGCTGGTGACTTTGTGTGTTGCTGGTGACGGTGTGTGTAGCTGGTGACTTTGTGTGTTGCTGGTGACTGTGTGTGTAGCTGGTGACTTTGTGTGTTGCTGGTGACTTTGTGTGTTGCTGGTGACTTTGTGTGTTGCTGGTGACTTTGTGTGTAGCTGGTGACTTTGTGTGTTGCTGGTGACTGTGTGTGTAGCTGGTGACTTTGTGTGTAGCTGGTGACTTTGTGTGTTGCTGGTGACTCTGTGTGTAGCTGGTGACTTTGTGTGTTGCTGGTGACTGTGTGTGTAGCTGGTGACTTTGTGTGTTGCTGGTGACTTTGTGTGTTGCTGGTGACTTTGTGTGTTGCTGGTGACTCTGTGTGTAGCTGGTGACTTTGTGTGTTGCTGGTGACTGTGTGTTGCTGGTGACTTTGTGTGTTGCTGGTGACTTTGTGTGTTGCTGGTGACTGTGTGTGTTGCTGGTGACTTTGTGTGTAGCTGGTGACTTTGTGTGTAGCTGGTGACTTTGTGTGTAGCTGGTGACTTTGTGTGTAGCTGGTGACTGTGTGTGTTGCTGGTGACTGTGTGTGTTGCTGGTGACTTTGTGTGTAGCTGGTGACTTTGTGTGTAGCTGGTGACTTTGTGTGTCGCTGGTGACTGTGTGTGTTGCTGGTGACTTTGTGTGTAGCTGGTGACTTTGTGTGTAGCTGGTGACTTTGTGTGTTGCTGGTGACTTTGTGTGTAGCTGGTGACTGTGTGTGTTGCTGGTGACTTTGTGTGTAGCTGGTGACTTTGTGTGTTGCTGGTGACTGTGTGTGTTGCTGGTGACTTTGTGTGTTGCTGGTGACTTTGTGTGTAGCTGGTGACTGTGTGTGTTGCTGGTGACTTTGTGTGTAGCTGGTGACTTTGTGTGTTGCTGGTGACTGTGTGTGTTGCTGGTGACTTTGTGTGTTGCTGGTGACTCTGTGTGTAGCTGGTGACTTTGTGTGTAGCTGGTGACTGTGTGTGTTGCTGGTGACTTTGTGTGTTGCTGGTGACTGTGTGTGTTGCTGGTGACTTTGTGTGTAGCTGGTGACTTTGTGTGTTGCTGGTGACTGTGTGTGTTGCTGGTGACTTTGTGTGTTGCTGGTGACTTTGTGTGTAGCTGGTGACTGTGTGTGTTGCTGGTGACTTTGTGTGTAGCTGGTGACTTTGTGTGTTGCTGGTGACTGTGTGTGTTGCTGGTGACTTTGTGTGTTGCTGGTGACTCTGTGTGTAGCTGGTGACTTTGTGTGTTGCTGGTGACTGTGTGTGTAGCTGGTGACTTTGTGTGTTGCTGGTGACTGTGTGTGTAGCTGGTGACTGTGTGTGTTGCTGGTGACTTTGTGTGTTGCTGGTGACTTTGTGTGTTGCTGGTGACTGTGTGTGTTGCTGGTGACTTTGTGTGTTGCTGGTGACTTTGTGTGTAGCTGGTGACTGTGTGTGTTGCTGGTGACTTTGTGTGTAGCTGGTGACTTTGTGTGTTGCTGGTGACTGTGTGTGTTGCTGGTGACTTTGTGTGTTGCTGGTGACTTTGTGTGTAGCTGGTGACGGTGTGTGTTGCTGGTGACTTTGTGTGTTGCTGGTGACTGTGTGTGTTGCTGGTGACTGTGTGTGTTGCTGGTGACTTTGTGTGTTGCTGGTGACTTTGTGTGTAGCTGGTGACTGTGTGTGTTGCTGGTGACTTTGTGTGTAGCTGGTGACTTTGTGTGTTGCTGGTGACTCTGTGTGTAGCTGGTGACTTTGTGTGTTGCTGGTGACTTTGTGTGTAGCTGGTGACTTTGTGTGTTGCTGGTGACTTTGTGTGTAGCTGGTGACTTTGTGTGTTGCTGGTGACTTTGTGTGTAGCTGGTGACTTTGTGTGTAGCTGGTGACTTTGTGTGTTGCTGGTGACTTTGTGTGTAGCTGGTGACTGTGTGTGTTGCTGGTGACTTTGTGTGTAGCTGGTGACTTTGTGTGTTGCTGGTGACTCTGTGTGTAGCTGGTGACTTTGTGTGTTGCTGGTGACTTTGTGTGTAGCTGGTGACTTTGTGTGTTGCTGGTGACTCTGTGTGTAGCTGGTGACTTTGTGTGTTGCTGGTGACTTTGTGTGTAGCTGGTGACTTTGTGTGTTGCTGGTGACTTTGTGTGTTGCTGGTGACTTTGTGTGTAGCTGGTGACTGTGTGTGTTGCTGGTGACTGTGTGTGTTGCTGGTGACTTTGTGTGTAGCTGGTGACTTTGTGTGTCGCTGGTGACTGTGTGTGTAGCTGGTGACTTTGTGTGTTGCTGGTGACTGTGTGTGTTGCTGGTGACTTTGTGTGTAGCTGGTGACTTTGTGTGTTGCTGGTGACTGTGTGTGTAGCTGGTGACTGTGTGTGTTGCTGGTGACTGTGTGTGTTGCTGGTGACTGTGTGTGTTGCTGGTGACTTTGTGTGTAGCTGGTGACTGTGTGTGTTGCTGGTGACTGTGTGTGTTGCTGGTGACTGTGTGTGTTGCTGGTGACTGTGTGTGTTGCTGGTGACTGTGTGTGTTGCTGGTGACTGTGTGTGTTGCTGGTGACTTTGTGTGTAGCTGGTGACTTTGTGTGTAGCTGGTGACTGTGTGTGTAGCTGGTGACTGTGTGTGTTGCTGGTGACTGTGTGTGTTGCTGGTGACTTTGTGTGTAGCTGGTGACTGTGTGTGTAGCTGGTGACTTTGTGTGTTGCTGGTGACTTTGTGTGTAGCTGGTGACTGTGTGTGTAGCTGGTGACTGTGTGTGTAGCTGGTGACTGTGTGTGTTGCTGGTGACTTTGTGTGTTGCTGGTGACTGTGTGTGTTGCTGGTGACTTTGTGTGTAGCTGGTGACTGTGTGTGTAGCTGGTGACTGTGTGTGTAGCTGGTGACTGTGTGTGTTGCTGGTGACTTTGTGTGTTGCTGGTGACTGTGTGTGTAGCTGGTGACTGTGTGTGTTGCTGGTGACTTTGTGTGTTGCTGGTGACTTTGTGTGTAGCTGGTGACTGTGTGTGTAGCTGGTGACTGTGTGTGTTACTGGTGACTTTGTGTGTTGCTGGTGACTTTGTGTGTAGCTGGTGACTGTGTGTGTAGCTGGTGACTGTGTGTGTAGCTGGTGACTTTGTGTGTTGCTGGTGACTGTGTGTGTTGCTGGTGACTTTGTGTGTAGCTGGTGACTGTGTGTGTAGCTGGTGACTGTGTGTGTAGCTGGTGACTTTGTGTGTAGCTGGTGACTGTGTGTGTTGCTGGTGACTGTGTGTGTTGCTGGTGACTGTGTGTGTTGCTGGTGACTTTGTGTGTTGCTGGTGACTTTGTGTGTAGCTGGTGACTTTGTGTGTCGCTGGTGACTGTGTGTGTAGCTGGTGACTGTGTGTGTAGCTGGTGACTGTGTGTGTAGCTGGTGACTTTGTGTGTTGCTGGTGACTTTGTGTGTAGCTG